AACATTTTCAAAACTTTCTTTCGGCGGGAGCCGGAGCTCGGTATCATTTGAAAAGATACACCGGTGTGCGTAAATGAACCAGAAACATCTTTTAGAATCCCAAATTCAATGCTGCACGTACGCACCTTGAAATCCGGTATCCCTAATAAACAAACCATGAAAAAAAATGTGCCCAAAAATCGCGCGAAATAACCCCTCGCTAGGTTCTCACCAAACCTGCTTGGGAATAATCGAAAGAAGAGCGTGTGTGTGTATGTGTGCTCTTCTTACATAAGAAATATTCCGTATTATTGTACTTATAATGTAGGTAGATGTTGCTGGGCAAATTGCACTCCTCGGATAAATGTAATCTAGGTAGAATATAAGTGTTTAATGTTTGCCTGACGAAAATTATGAAGAATATGGAATGCTTGAGTAACTATTTTAAATGAATAGTGTCGTTACGAAATTATTTTATATGAAAATCTAAAGTATAATACATATATTTCAAAATTCGACAGAAGAAATTATTGATAAAAATTGTCAGCAAAATAATTATAAAAAAATGTGATATAAACTCAATAGATATGTTTTTGAATGTACATTTCTAAATGCTTGCCGGAATGAAACCGAGTGAGATTATTTTAGAGGAGTGTCGGTGCAGTCGGCGGGGCCCTAATTTGAATGCACGCACGAAGGGCCGAGGGCGAAAGTGTGAGAATTCATCTCATGAGGGTGCCCTTTCCCGGTCGAAATGACAGAGCGGGACGTGCACCGGAACGTATATAAAAGAGGAGCGTTTTTCCGAAAAGTCATTCCAAGTTTCGACTGCGTTCGAATTACCTGCGGCCCTTATGGGTCTCGTTAGGCTTTAATTTGTTGCATTGCTGTTAGAAATTGTTGAGTTTTTGTTAAGTTTTTTTTGTTATATAGTCGGTCGGAAGAAATAACATGTCGGTCGAGAAGAACGAATTCATGATGAAGTGGCGGCAAGTTGAGTAAGTTACAATATTTTTATTTATAAATATTTTAAACAATTTTGAAGCCCATGAAATGTTTATGCTTTAGTTTCCTTTATTTTTCTGTATGTATAATATTTTATCTTTGATTCTAGGCTTAATTCTAGGCATCATATTAATATTCCTAATTATTTATCTATATCTACCCCTAATTTTAAAATATTATTTTGATTTTTACTTTTATTCTCATTTTCCATATTTTTTAAATTTTCTATTTTATTTTAAACGAGTTTCTGTCTTCAGATGTTCCTAATATTTATCCTTATGCACTAAGATTAATTTAATTTATTTAATTTTTTTAATTCTGTATTTTATTTTCCAGTTACATATCAACGAATTATTGGCCCACCTAGAGAACCCGACGAAAGGCTGACTGCACTGTTGAGAAGTTAAGTTTTGAATATATTTTATGATACGTTTTCGAAATTTCGATACCACACCGTTTCGGCGACAAAATTCGACCCCACGATCCTCCAGGCACCGAAAAATGCAGTTGAAGATGACCGAATCGCTACTGTAGAAGAAGTAACGGTTTGGTCCGTTCGTGATTAATTGGGAGGGGGAGAAAATTCCAAATGCGTCCCTGGAATAATCCGGGAACGTACACAAGGCTACTGGTTTACTAAGAAAATTATCCAATGCAGTTTGAACGAAGATTAACCACGTCATTGGGTAAGGAGTTGTTACGTTTTTGTTTTCATATTGACGTCCCAAATTTGAAGTTATGGGTGTTAATAATTTGTTAATGTTAAGTTTTAAAATTAATCTTCCCGGACTACTACATTTCGTTTTCACGTTTATTTTTGTTTTCGCTAATTGTTAATAACTCCCGTTTTTTTGTTATATTTTCTGTTTCTGGTTATGTTTGATGATAATTCCGTTACCATAGATATCTTTTTAATTGTTTCCGATATCGCAGTTTTGTTTTGTTATCTTTTGGTTGAAGTTTAATTTATTTAAAATGGTTTTGTTGCTCGTTGTTTATTGTTACGTTACTGTTCTGAGCGATATCGCCGTTTATAATAAATTAAATTATGTTAAATATACTTGTTAAATTTTAACCCGTTTCGGTAATCGTGTTCTAATTGAAAAATTTTCAATCAGTTTCTCAACCCACTTCACACAGCCCTTATGATTTCTTCGGTTCTTTTACGTACGTTATTGGAAGTTTTCAAAAATTTTTATTTTCAATGCAAATCTTAATAAAAATATTTTTAAGAATGCTTAGAAAAAGTAATTGCCATAAATCACATGGATGCTTACAATTGCATTAAAAATCCGATTTGTAATTTTAACATTTTTTTATATAAAGAGATTATAAGGGAAATTATATATTTTTTGGTAATGGAAAAACCTACTTTCTTTTTCACTATTCTACACACTCGTTATATTTAATCATTCTTGCAAAGTGATTTGAGGAACTTACACCATCATTTATAAACAATTACATGAATACACAAAAAATACTCTATTTCGAAATTATTAAGTTTTACTCATTTTGTTGTTCGTTAGACTGATGATCATTTTTGTTGATTTAAGTTTCATGTTTCTCTGTTTTTGTTTAATTTGATCAACTTATTGCATTTTTCTTTTCATTTTTTTAGGATTTTCTTGAATATTGGTTAATTTTCGTTCTTTTTAAATTTTCGTTTTGTTTTTTTTTAAGTTTTTAGTTATTTTTTTTTATTTTCATTTCAGTTTGTAGTAATTTTTCTTTTTTTTTAAAGGCTTGAATAATCAAGTTTCAATTAGTTTCAAAATTATTATTTTTTATTTGTTGATTTTTTATTATTTCTACCCAAAAGAACCGTAATTAAAAAAATACAAAAAAATAGAGCCTTCATTTTTGTTTAGTTTTACATTCAATTATTTTTTATATTATAATTTTATCTTCAGTTGAAGGCGTTTTAAGTTTGTTTTTAATCGTATCTTTTTTATTTTTATTTTTTTAATTAGTAGCTTATTTTTGACATATCATTACAGAATTTTGTAATTTTAATTTTTTTTCATACTCACAATCAGTTATTTTTATTCTTTTTTTTGTTTTTTTTATAATAAGCTAAGTATTTTTGTTTGCACTTGTGTTTTTGTGTGTTTTGTTTTCTATAAGAACCCCCTCAAAAAAAAAACAAAAAAAATATGTTCTAGCGCCAAAAATGAATTTAAAAATATTTGTTAATCAAAACGAAATAGCTAGAACAACCATTTTAACGAGGGTTAATTTTATCGTGTGGTTTTTTTCGTGTTTCTAACTTTCATATAAAATCGCGTGTTTTAGCCTAAGTTTCATTAAAATTTACTTAGTTTTAAGTTTCTATAGTTAGCATTCGTGTGCCTTATTTCTTATTTTTTAGATAAATGCTTTCTTATCTTTTTCTTTATAATTAAATTTTAATTTGTGAATTCTGATAACACCTAGGAATTTTAAAAACCCGTTTTAAAAGCTTAAAATATTTTTGACGCACCCATTGTTATTTTCGAAAATATTTTAGGCTTGCCATTTTTTAAAATTTTTAGTTCTTCATTATCAGAGTACACGAATTTGTAATTTTTTGTTACTATAAGGAAAAATCACTTGACGAGTACAACACCATATTTTTCCAATAGTTTTTATCTTTCTACAGTTTCGCTTTTTTCTTTCTTCGACTGCTCTTTCTGTATCTTCACATCACCTTATTGTTATTTGTTTATTTGTTTTAGTTTGTTTTTGTTTTATTTGGTTTACTTTTTGTTTGTAAATAGTGTGTAAATAAGTGTGTATCCAATAAAATATTTTAAATATAAAAATGATTTTTATGTTATTTCATCTTCCTAAAATACATGTCTCACCTACACAGGTGCAAATTTATACGCAGTATGTTCTATAGGTACAACAAAAACAACTTCCATTAAACTCATATAAAGGAAAGAGAAATTGGGATAATGTAGGATTGTAACTTTCTCACTCTAACCACTGGTATTTTAAAAATCTTTCTTTGTTCAACTCATATAGAATTGACTACACTTAAGTGTATAATAGGTGGCAATATGGTTAAATATATGAGTTGAACAAAGAAAGATTTTTAATATAACAGTTGTTAGAGTGAGAAAGTCGTAAATCCCACGATATCACTCTTTCTCTTTCCTCCATATGAGACTAAAGGAAATTGTCTTTGTAGCAACCATATAGTTACAAACAATATTGCATCAACATGTACAAATTTGCACTTACCTATATTTGAATGTATGGGAAAAATTTTCCAGATTTCTTTTATTTTGTACTGTCAATGTATTGTCAGTCTATTCAGATACACTCTGTGTAATCTGGAACACCAAAGAGAGTGAGCAAAGTAAATGAGTGTAATAATGGTTGCCTATAAACAGTAATGTGGAAAGTAAGTTTAAATACTTCACCAGGTGTTTTTACTTTAAAAATGCCGTATGTATTGATATTAAAACGATGTACATTAAAGTACCTGAAATCGATTATATGTACGTAGCGCAATAAATAAAGTTTTGTTCTTAAAATTTTGTTCAATTTTTATGAAAAATCTAATAAGATCGGTGATCAATGAACCTAAGATGTGATTAATACCATATTTGGATATGGCTTACGAAATTTGATCAACTTATATAGTTCAATAAAATTACGCTTAAGAAATTTATGTTCATAAAAGAGCAATGAGGTCATTGCAAGAACACTTGTTCGTCTCCTTATATGGTATAAACGAAAATTTTTTGTGGGTTAATTTTTAACCTTCTTAATGTTAATTTTTATAGTAATTAAACAATAATTGCGTGAATTTTTGTTATTTTATGTAGTGGTAAGTAATTTTATCCAAATTTTTCCGATAAAATCTTCTTTTTTGAAAAATATTCCAGTACCGGACTAACAGTTGGCCGTTTTAAATCCTGTCTCTTAGCCCGTTTCTCGTTTTTTTTTTAATAAAACTACTACATTCGTTTGAAATATACGCAATTTGGAGTTAAAATAGTATTAAATAAATAATAGGTATAATATACAATTTTTAAATATTACGATTATACTAAATTTAATGTGAAAACGAAGGAAAAATATGCAATTTAACTTATCGGAATCGTATCATTAGACACTGTTTTTTTGGGATGCGTTGTTGCCACAAGTCAATTGTCAACGTTGTCATGCCATGTGTCAAGTCATTCATTAGTCATTTCTATCGTATTTTTGCTTGAGGTTAATCAACAATTTTATAAACAAATATTTAGTTTAATCACTTTTGCATAAATTATTAAAGTATTCTAGTGCAGCACTTAGTTAGTTTAACTCTTAGCACCGTACTTATTCCCTAAATTATTACAAAAGATTTGTGTTCCTAGTATTTAAGAATAATTATCGGTAAGTTTATTATTGTTAAATTGGGCGTTGACGGTTCCTTGTCAATTTCATAAAATTCCTCGTACAGCAAAGAACAATGCATTTACTACTATATAGTTAAATAATGTGTCGATTCTGAACTCGAGATTCTCGATAATATAAATTTCTAGTCATTTGCCCACTAACATATTGTGTTCTTTTAGAAAATGTCTTCCCGCAAAACTGTAAGCCGCCGTGGAACCACCAAAAAACGCGCCCAAAGGGCCACCTCCAATGTATTCGCCATGTTCGATCAGGCCCAGATAGCCGAATTCAAAGAAGCCTTCAACATGATCGACCAAAACCACGATGGCTTCGTCGACAAAGAAGATTTACACGACATGCTGGCTTCCTTAGGTGAATATTTCTTGATACTTTTATACTTATATTACAAGAAATCTACTCATAGATTATCCAATGGAGCTAACAGATGTCCTACCAGTTTAATATTTGTATGTATTACAGGTAAAAACCCCACTGATGATTACTTAGATGGGATGATGAACGAGGCACCAGGTCCGATCAATTTCACCATGTTCTTGACTCTGTTTGGTGAACGTCTGCAGGGAACGGACCCCGAGGATGTGATTAAGAACGCGTTTGGATGTTTCGATGAAGAGAACATGGGGGTGATTAACGAGGAACGTTTGAGGGAGCTGCTGACGTCTATGGGAGATAGATTTACAGATGATGAAGTGGATGAAATGTACAGGGAAGCTCCGATCAAGAACGGTCTGTTCGACTATGTCGAATTCACCCGTATTTTGAAGCACGGCGCTAAAGATAAGGATGAACAGTAGAAAAACAAAAACAGTTGTCTTTCCATTTTTTGTAATTTTGCATTTATTTTATTTCATGAGGGATTTATGGTAGTTGTTATTCAAAAATCTATTTAAAATAAGCTAACACTTTTCGAAAATCTAATTCCCGGGATCTTTTTCCTTGCATTATGAATTTGTATAGATTGCTTATTACTGATTTGTATTTAGTTTTAAAATGTAATATTCATTAGGTATTGAAATGTACATTGTTTAACATTAAATTTTTTATATCGACATTGCAATAAAATTCTGTACTTAAGATTTTATTGTATACAAAATTTAATTTATAATAGCATAATACTACAGTAACATTAAACCATAATTATTTCATTATTTGTTCCAAATGCGTTAGAAATAGCATAACGAGTCTAATTTAGTTAATTACAAAAGTACTTAAAACCGAAAATACCATCAGTTGCGATAAAAATATTTTTTCTTCTAACGAGAAAATAAGCTGAACAGACGAAATACACATGTCACAAAAACAAACTAAAACAAACCTCTGAATTAAAGGATATAATTGAAATATTTTTTATGTTGCCACTTCTTCATGGTGCTTTAGTTAAACTTGAAGGAATTCATGTTGAGAAGAAACTTTAGAGTTCACAGTAGTAAGATTAATTTCTATCTACCTCCATTTTTCCTTACTTCCTTAATTTGGGGATGAAAAGGTAAATATAAAAAGCCATTTACACATTTTTTCCCAAATAACAACTCCCTATTAGAATCGAATAATAGAAGTCATTTTTACTCTATTAAAATGATATAATAGACAGTGGAAGCCATTTTGGTTTAATTCATTTAACTACTTCCTAATTAAAACAAATAGCGAATAAAGTGGTCTGATAAGAATTGAAATAAACACCGTTCGCGATAAACTAACTTCTCCTTTTAATAAGTGAAAGATAAACACTTTAGTAAAAACAGAAGCAGACACTTATATATACGTAAAAATAGAAACGAAAGCAGATAGTAGGTGTCATAGAGAAAGAAAGATTTTATTTTGTCTATGGTAGGTGTGCTGTATATTCCATAGAAACAAGCAAAATGGATTCACAAATCACAATTCGAAAAGCCGAATTAAAAGATATAAGTGAGGTATTCGCGATGTTGCAGGTAAGACTAAAGAAATATCTAGCATAACTTACTCTACAGGAGCTCTAGAATTTCGAGAAATCGTATTACATTATAAATTGTATTATAGGAGCTCTCCGCTTTCGAGAAACTGCCCCAAAATGTGAAAATAAGCAAAGAAACATTCGAAAAAGATTTTATTGAAAAGGCTTTCACTAGTTTCGTTGCTGAAAGGTCAGATGGAAAACTCGTAGGTTACACAGTATCTTGTCAAGCATATTCGACTTGGGAAGGAAGAGTAATGAGTTTAAGGGACATTTACGTAAAACCTGAACTAAGGTAAAAATCATTTCCATTTTTTGCACATTTTTAATCTCATTATAAAGCATTATTTTCATTCAGGAGATGAATATTGCTTTGAATTAGTTTTCTTTATATTGAGCTTTATTATCAATCACTGTTAAATATTTTTTTTGTTAGGGGAACCGGCATTGGGAGAAAATTATTTATAACGACCATGAAAGATGGTTATAAAGCCGGCTGTAATTCTGCCTTTTTCCTGGTTCTCGATTGGAATCCTGCAGTGAAGTTCTACAAGGAACTAGGAGCTACAGATATAACCGAAAAAGAAAATTACCACATTTTCAAGGTTCTAACGGATGATTTTGTTAAGCTTTGTACTAGTACGGAATAAAAGGCCGAAAACATTAAATTTACTCCCGTTTCACAGTATATATCCTAGATATTCTGTAAATCATTTTAAAACAAGATAAGATAAAAGGGTGCAAATAAAGATATTAAAAAATTGTTTTCTTTAATTTTAAGGCCGAGATAAATCTAGCTTTTCAGGTAAACTGTTTCTCCAATTACCTAGCAAATTCATCATTTTTAATAAGCACAAAACAAAATACATTTATGACCGTTTATTTTCAATTATTTGTATTATTGTTAACGTTAATTAAAGAAGCAGAAGTTACAACAAATAACCATTATAACTACTTACAAACTATACATTTATTATTTTGTATTTTTATAATTACGATTAAGTAGAATAAATATTTTATAAATATTGGTAATTCATAAGAGGTAATCAGTTTTGAATTTAGTTTAATAAATTGTAGGATTTATATTATATTCGTTAATTATTAATGTGAATGCAATTTGACTCTAAATTCAAATTATTGATTCCCCTAAATAGATCTTATAGGTACCTATAATTCCTCTGTAATAATCTTCCACCTCCCTTCATTATTTCAATTTACAGTCTTTCAACCACCCCTATTTCATATACGAGTAGATACGTATGAAAATAACTTCTTTTAGCATTCTTTAATATCACTGGTACATGCAAAGTGTATCAGTAGCACACTATTCTATTAGTATATTTTTTTCTTAAATATTAACAACCAAAACAAAGTGGAAACCAGTGGCATAACAATTATTTGGTATTGGTGACACTACTCAAGTGAATCAGTCGTGATTTAAATACAAAAAAATCAAGTTTCCAATGAAAGGAATGTTCGTTCTCTTCGTCGAATTTTAAAAGTGTTTTTTTGATATTTTTTTGTTTTATGTTAGCATTTTATTGAGTTAATTTCAAAAGTTTATTGTAGGTATTTGATAATCATTATGACGGTAATTTGTACTTTTATCTCAAATCAAATGAAATAGGGAAAATAATTGACCCAACTGAGCAAAATTCCTATCTGTTCCAATAGTCGCACATTTAAAGCGTTTTATTTAATCTTATTAATTAAAAGCCCATTTTATTTAAATGTTATAGTAAAAATAAAAGTGTGGTAACTATTTATATTAAAATTAAAATATGCTCTTTTGCCCGAATTGGCCTTTCTTAAAAAATGGATGCAATGAATGCAAGGTACGTTCAATTTGTATTAAACAAAATAATGAAAAAAAATCACTTATAAATTATAATTTGAGTTTCACAGTTTAAAGCAACAAGCGAACTTTTAAAACCATGCAGTCCACTTTATTCTTTACAGCCACAAAATTAAACAAATTACCAAAACTACTATTACTTTTATTCTCATTTATATATCTACCGATTACATATATTTTATTAAAAAATAAAGTGGCTAGCATTAACGAACAATAAAATAATATCTCTAATCCCTCGCTCTTCCTATAATAGCCAAAATATACATGAATATGTTGATAACATCGACGTACAAGTTGATGGCAGCAAATATGTATTCTTCGGGCGAAATAGAATACGTATGCTTCCCGCCCATCATCATCTGCGTATCGTAGATGAGATACACAGAGAATATCAAAGCTCCCACAGACGCGTAGAGCAGCTGAAAGATCTTGTTGTGGACGAAAATAGCGATAATTCCGAACAGGAACAGGATCAAAACGGCCACGAACAGGATGCCACCCATCATGGTGAAATCCCACTTCGTTTGGAAGGCGAATAGGGTGAGACCCACGCATACAGCAGCCGTTATGCCCACCGCCATCGCCACGGCATCTGCCTTGTAAGTGGACGCAGTGCAAGCTAGACAGAAGCTCTCTGCCAGCGTGAATATGAGCAGGAAAATATAGTTTGCGGGCGCCTTTCTTCTCAATTCCCCGCAACAGGCCAGAGCTATGAGAGCGACAAATACGAGCACTAAGGACGCGTAAAACAACCCGATGTGATGGTAAACGTAGACCCTGGTCGGTTGGTGGTAGAGGAACCAGCAGATAAACGCTAATGTTATGCCCAGTTGTAACGATAATATGGAATACACTTTCTTAATGAATCCTCTTCGGATGCTTTGATCGCTGAAATCGAAACCCTTGACTTCGGGGTCTTCGCCGTAGCCAGAAGCGCCTCCATAATTACCTGCAACAGGCAGAAATTGTAGTATAAATTAATGATTTTCGATAGGTGCACCTGTTCGTAACAACTCTCTATTAGAATCTTCTGATAATTTTGACATTGTTATAAATTGCTAAACAAGAAATGTAATTTACGTCAAAAAAGTGTTGGCACTGAATGTATTTACGCACTATAGATTTTCTATATGCTTCATAATTTCAAAATTGAAACAAAAAAAATCTAATTTTTCCATAAGTTATGAGGTGCAATAAGTTAAACTACTAGAACGATACGTTACTATTTTGTATAAATTTTTATAAACTTTGAAAGGTAAAAAACTGGAGAACATAAAATATGTAAACATTTAAGAGTAAACAGTAATTTAAGAATAATCGAAAATATAATAAATTTTGAGGCTAACACCCTCATCTCTATAACTAAGATTTCAGGTTAAATAAGCTCATTTTTAAAGTCAATACCTCCCAAGTTTTGTTTTTTTATCAAAATACGTATTAGTTTTAGTAATTTTAAAAGAAAATGTTGTGTTAGTGTAAATAAAAAATAAATAGAATATTATTGAAGCCTCATTTAAGTGCAAAGCAGTACAAAAATTTAAGGTAACCCCAAACTAGCTGAAATAATTTAATATTAAAAATATTGACTTACTGAAATAATGTTGATACATTTGTAAGAAGAGAGAAGAAATCCCCCGTCTTAATTTTTAAGTACTTTTATAATAAACGTATTCAAACGTATACAAATTTTTTACGAGTTAAATAACGTATACAACAAACTTAAAAAAATACTGCACCAACCCATCCAATATTAAATAACAAAAAAAATCCCGTTTTTGGATTTTATTCATAGCGAATTAAAAGCCAAGCCAACAAACTAAATTATAAAGAAAAAACGAACCAGCGTTATTAGAGAAGGGTACATGTTCACCTGCATATGGATCACCGCCTCCATAAGGAGGTGGCTGTTGAAATCCAGCTCCGCCATGCGGCGGTGGGTATCCTCCAGCCTGGGGAGGGTATCCTCCTGCCGGTGGAGGGTATCCACCAGGCGGAGGAGCCGTAGGATAACCTCCCTGCGGAGGGTAACCGGGCTGCGGTGGCGGGTAGCCCGGCTGGCCTGCGTAATAGGCTTGGTTGGGATCTAAGAGAAAAAAAATGTTCATACAAACAATAGACAGTTTAGAGTAATGTTTGCTAACAAGAAGAATTCTACAACAAAAGTATGTGTACTAAAAATTTTTCGCTAACAATGCATGCCGTTATTCATCATTATTGACATAGTGTCAGTGTCATTATTGACATAGTGTGTAGACATTGATAAACATTTGTATTGAAATGTAAACACCAGACATAGCAATTTAATTAAAAAATTGAAAAAAATATTTCAAACAATGTTAGTTATCTCGTGTCTCACTCAAGGAAATAAATCCTTTTGTTGTAACCAAAACCCTATCTTTATGAAATGGAATTATATTTGCAAATTGCATTTGGCTCATAGTTTTAAAAATATTTCAGTGACACTAACAATAAGTACTTACCTGGAGGATATTGGCCCCCTTGATTCCACTGCGACATCTTCAAAATTTATGAAACCTGAAAAATAAATAATCTTATTATTTATTTTATATGCCATGATATAAATATAATTAAATAAATAAGTATATATTAAAATAAGGATGAAACTGCAAAATGTCTCTTTATACCTGATAAAGATAAAACGATAAAATGTTTTAAATAAATTATTATAAAGGTAAATAAACGAAAAATACAAATTAAATTTAATTTTCTAGAAATTACCAGATTAATATTTAATTATGCAGTGACTTATGTCTGACTCACTTGTAAGAAGAGTACTTTAAAAACAGGAATAGTGAATAGTACCTTTCAAAAAATTAATCAGTGAATCATTTAGGTGAACTACCTAAAACTAAAAACAACAATTCAAAATTGCCAACTTAATCCGGCATTAGTAAACATTGTGCAATATCCCTTTTTGTGATACCATTAAAAATACACGTAAAAATCTCAATTCTACCAACCAATATGCGGGTTATGTGGGAAAAAATTATATTAGATATCTCATGTATCATTACAAACCAAATTTACTAAATTTAAAGAGTAGCCCATTTTTTAATGGAGAAACCTTGAAATAATTTGAGCTATTAGCTTATGTACTCCCACACAATTATAAAATCATTGAAACAATCTCGTATATAATTATCGAACACGTAACTCCAGGGAGCGCTATTTTCAATCAATTTTTGGGTAAAGTTGCAAGTACACGAAAGTAGATCAAGCTACATGTTCATCAGACATATTTCTTTACTTTTCGGTTCAATTTACCGATAATCGAAATAAATTATTGGCAAAAATATTGGTAAAAACGAAAATTAGTGTAAGAAAATGTATATAAATACCTTTGAAAATATCAAACACGTAGTTATTGGATAATTTAGAAACCCAAAATCTAGAAGTATTCCGAATAATGCGAATATCACTTCACAAATCACAACACAGCATCGAACACAAAAAACAGAGTGACAATTTACAATGACAATTGACTTGACACATGGCATAAAATGTGGAGTTGTTAGCAGAAGAAAATCTGTTCTTGGATTCGGACTTTGACTAAGAGGGATATTAAGACAGGAGTTAATTTAACAAGTTAGTTTTTCTAATTATTTGGTATACTAATCATATGGCCTGAAGAACCGAGGCTAATCAAGTAGTTTATGAACGAAATCCTGTTAACATTTTATAAAACAGTACCATCTATAAGAATTATTCTCTACGTTATGTGAACAGAATTGTTGGCGAAAAGAAAACTTTATATCGATTTTTCAATTTCAGATGGCGCTGGTTAAATTTCATTCATAATTCCAGTTCATTCATTCATTTTTCTACGAGCCGGTATTTGGTGTATTGTAGTTTTTACTACTTGCAGGAAAAGTTTCATGAGAATGAGGGAAATTTCGATATCGTGAAGCTGAGTAGGTTCGTAACATTTTTTGGGGTTTTAAAGTGTGGACAGTAATTTTTTTAAACGTGCTGCCCACCAGTAAAACTCAGAAAAATGCACCAACTACTACAAATTAAAATACGATTGCTTATTATTGGTAATTTCAGGTAATTTCTTACATGCACGTTCGCACGCTTTTTTTTCAAATCTTTTTGGAATGTTTATTTATAGTTAATCGATAAACCTTTCACTCTTCTAGGGTAAAAATAAATTTGCGTGGGAGTCGAGTTTCTTCTTTTCTAGTGCAATTTGTACAACGGAAATCGATAGGTTTCAATTAATATAAGCTTGTATGTTGAATAAAATTTTCTTGAAAATTTCTTCATTTTAGTGCTTAGTTTTCTACCCAACTCAAATTAATTCTGCATGATGTATTGATTTTTGTTTTTTTATTTTCTTGTCAAATTAATAATTTCATTTCTCGAAACTCTCCATTCTTTTCCATTTTTATATAATATGTCCCCTTCCCAAATTACACACACATTAATAATCCTGTTCAGCTATTACTTTTTATTACATAATAGAATTTTTCTAATCAACTCGCTGATAATCTTAATACCGTATAAAATGAATTAAACAACATACCATATCCCCTTAACCGTTTCGACTACTCACGAATTATCATCCAATTACTTAATAATCGTCTAATCAAATATTCACGAGAGGTTATCTAGAATACTTAATGAATGTTTAAAAACAAAAAAATTTGAAGGGAAGACAACTAATAATAGCTCAGTCAATCTCAACGTTTCGTCTGGCCAACATGGAGAAAGCGCTAGTTCTATTTTTCGGTTTATTAGTTTTCACGAGCTGCGATACGATAAATAATGATGTAGTGCAGGAAGATGAATGCGATTTGCCCTCGGAGTTGATCCAAGAAATCGCGTCTTACCAGCCTACGGTAAATAGAATAATCGACTCTGTGACCAAAGGTAAGCATAGAGGGCAACCCTACAAGTTGCTGGAGGACTTCATTGATAAATTCGGGGCGAGGCAAGCCGGCACCAAGAACTTGGAGGACTCCATTGACTATGTGTTCGATTTGATGAGAAAGTACAATTTGGAAAATGTTCATGGTGAAAATGTTACAGTACCGCATTGGATTAGGTAATGTCTTGTTTAGGTGCTTAAATTAATTAATGTGTAATATTTTTTCAACGAGCCCATTAGGTACTAATATTTAATATTACATTTTAAAAATGTTATGTATAGGCAAATTGTCCGGTTTTTATCTTTTCTCATTAATTTGTAGATATCGAAATTATTAAGAAAATTGAATACTTTCCTTAATTGATTACTTATTTAATTGAAAACTTTCCTTAATAGATTTTCCAATATTTCAATATTCTATACAATTCATTGCTAATCTATTCCTGAATTCAACCTAAAATGAAAACATGAAACATTCAATTCCAACAGAAAAATTTAATAATAATTGAAAATTGAATAACATTTAATTTCGATTAAAAATTAAATTCGTTTCATTTATTTTTCACTCGATCGCTGTTTTATTATTTCATTTCAAATTTTTATCCAATTTTAATAACACGTTTTCCTTGAATATTTTAAAATTTATTAGCTTGATTGAACAATCGATTCGTAATTTGAATATTTTAAATGAATTTCTGTAATTTAAATAATACAAGCCTTTGTAATTCAAAAGTATGCGCGCCTTTGTTGATTTTGTTCTAAAATAATTTAAAATTTTTCGTGAGCACATGATGAAATTTAGAGATTTCCAAGAATGTTCCGTGTTTTTCGATTTTTTCGTAAATAAAAGATAACCCTCCAGCTCGACCTGCTGTATCGATTTCCTAAATTTTTGTAGATTTATTTTAAATTACTTTTTTGTTGAAGATAAGGACAAAGAGGAACAACACATTTAATAAAAAAAAATGAATCTATTTCGTTTAAAAACCCACATAGAGGATTAATAAAAAATAAATTATATAGACCATGATTTGCTCAAAATATTTTCAATTTCTACCGTTTTTAGAGGACACGAATCCGCCGAAATGCTGCAACCAAGGAAAGCCAAAATCGCAGTTTTGGGTTTAGGAGGTACTATTTCAACTCCACCTGAAGGAATCGAAGCTGAGGTATTAGTTGTACGATCATTTGACGAGCTGAACCAACCAAATGTATCAGCCGCTGCTAAAGGTATTTAAATCAAATCGATTTTATAATGATCTACTCATTAGCAAATTTCAGGAAAAATCATTGTATTCAACAACGATTACATAACATACGGAAAATCCGTCGTCTACAGAAGTCAAGGCGCCGTGAAAGCTTCCCAGCATGGTGCTGTAGCAGCTTTAGTGAGATCGGTAACCCCATTTTCTATGTACACCCCCCACACAGGCCACCAGTCCTATCGCGACGATGTTAAGAAGATCCCTGTAGCCTCCATTACTGTAGAAGATGCCAAAATGCTCCAAAGATACCAAGTAATAATATACTCCTTAATGTTTATTCTCCTACCGTTAATATAATGACTTATAGGATAAAGGAATTAAAGCAGTCATCAAGCTCCATCTACAATCCGAGCATTATCCAGACGCCACATCCAGAAATGCGGTGGGCGAAATCGTTGGATCCCAAAAACCGGAGAAAGTTGTAATCGTTTCCGGACACATTGATAGCTGGGATGTGGGAGTGGGCGCCATGGATGACGGAGGCGGTGCTTTTATTTCTTGGTATTCTTTAGCATTGCTTAAATCGCTCTCCTTACAAGCTAAGAGGACTTTAAGGTAAATTTCCCAATTAGTCTTATCCTCCTTTATATACCAGGATATGTTACAGAGTTGTTTTGTGGACAGCCGAAGAACCTGGATTCAAAGGAGTCCATCAATATGAAAAAGACCACAAAAATGAATTAGATAATTTCACATTTGTAATGGAATCAGATGAAGGTGTTTTCACACCACTGGGAATCGAGTACACAGCTGGAGTAAGAGGAGGATGCGTGTTAAAACAAATTGTAAAGTATGTACAATATTAGCTTCGAAATATCAACGATACTAGAGATAACTCTCTTAAAACTATCATTTGCAGGTTACTAGAACCAATCAATGCAACTAGCACCAAATACTATGATTCCGTGGGTTCCGATATCGCCATATGGGCTCGTAAAATTCCCACTGCAAGCCTTTACAACACGAACGAAAACTATTTCTGGTGGCATCACTCTGACGCCGATAGATTGGAGGTTCTCGATCCGGACAATTTGGACAAAGCTACTGCTGTTTGGGCTGCTGTATCGTTCATCATAGCCGATTTAAAGGACGAATTCCCCCGAGAATTTAACGATATTTCAACATTATCGAATTCAAAAATAATTGAAACACTCAATACTCTCAAGCAGAAGCCTACCAGATGATTTCACGTCGATTCCATCAATAATTATAATCAACGATTCAATATACTAATAATAATTTACTATAATTATAAGAATCTAATACATCAATTTTCTAATAGGTAATAAATTGTATTCCTATACCACCACATGCAAGAAAACTTGTTAAACATTATAATCTCAGTCTTCCTTAGAAGTATCCCATTTTTGTATCAATTCCTCAGCATCACAACTCTTAACGATTCTTTAAACAAGAAATAATCAAACAAGGTGGCTTGCACGTGCCTGTAAACCGGATTAAATAAGCGTATTTTCGTCCTGAGCGTCGAATCCCATTAGCAAGCTCTGATGGGACGAGGATTTCTCGGTGGATCCCAGCAAAGCGGTCTTCTCGCCGTTTTCGTTGAGCGAGCAATCCGGAGAGGAGTTATCTATGTGCACGAAATTATTAGTGGTAGTAGCGCTACTGGTGGACGGCAAACTGTGGATATCGGGCGAAGCCAGCGGTGGAAAAGCCTTCGGCGAGGCTTCCAGAGGTTCCTTGAGTAGCATCACTGGATAGGATTCTCTGAAAAGTCACACCTATCAAAGGTTAGGAATTATTACAAAAGTAAGAGACATCGACAAAAGTGTGTAGTAGGATTGAGTAATACGTGTGAAGTGTGAAGTGTGAAATGTGAAAATGAAATTAACCTGTATCCGGAGGTGCTGGAGGTCTGTGAAATCGCCGAGTCTTCGTCCCAAGATCCTTCAGTTACCTTGGACCTTGTGGCTATGCGCAGGCGATGGGAATCCGTCAGAGGCTCGAACCTGTGAGTTTGCTGCGGATCGGATTTCTGAGCGGCCTGAGTTTGCACTGTGGATGCATAATGCTGTGATGAATCCTGCGGTGGCGCAGAAACGGGCGGAGAGAGCGGCGGAGAGCCGGAGTCTTCGTGTTGAAGTTTCGATCTACTTAATTCTTCTTCGGACTTCTTTTCCATCGCCTGTCGTAATAAAAATGATGATTCAATTGATCGATGATTTTGTTTGTTTGTTTATACTTCAGCTTGTCTGGCTTTCTTGCTTTTTCTTAACCGGAACGTTTTTCTGCTTTGTGGCTTGATTCTCTGTAATCTCGATTTGCTGGGGTACATTTCTCCTGAACTGTCTTCTGCAGGACTTCCTGGGCTCAATGGTGTTGTTGATGTTTCTCCTAAAATTTTACATGGATTACCAAAATTAATTTACGATTTTTATTTCAGTTCTACTCAATATTTTTCGATCATGTAGTAAGATACAAGTCCTTACTCTTGTTGATACTTTCATAACTAATTCATAACTAATTCATTCGTCCATATTATTTACATATTAAACAGAAAATAATGATTTATGTTTGCAAACCAGTAAGTATAATGAACAGGTAAACCTACTTAAATGGTTCCTACTTAGGGTGTTACCTGATGAGTGTCTAAATTCTACGGACGACACGAAACGGAGTTTGTGGGCTTTATGAAACAGAAGGGATTCTGATTTGGGTATGGGAGCGCCGTGCTCGTCGCTCACTGAAGACCTTTGAGAGGATCGATCTGAAACATTTACGTGCACTAGTCCAAAAAATGCATACATAACATAGGGTTTTATTGCCTACGAGATACATATGTACATGAGGATTTGATCAGTTCATTAAAGAATTATCAAAATTACCTGGTTGCGCTCCAGGTGTGGAATGGCCATTAGGCGGTTCTTGTGTATCACTTACATTCTGCGCTTGGATCGGTGTTGAGCTATGACTGCTTGAGGATTCTGAAATGTATTAAAGCATTTATGGAAAGCACCTATAATAGCAGTCACCAAGCTACCTTTAACTTGGGAATGCATAACATCATGAGCTGGCGCTGACTTGGATTGATGATGGCTGTCGCCTGTAAACAAACCGATCAGCGAGTGTCTTTGATGACGAGCGGGCACTTCAGTAGTCATTTGGCAACTGTCCTTTTTGGGCTCCGAAACCGACTCAGTAGCTGCAATAATAGCCTCATTATTAATAACGAATTCGTTTATAATATTCCATCTTACATTCGTCCAGTTCCTCCTTGAGGAGTTTCATTTCGTGGGCCAGGTCGAGCAGCAAGGCCGCCCTTCCCTTGGGCAACGGGAGGCCGATGCTGCGCATTTTATTTCTGATTTTCGTGTGCATATTGCGTTCGAAATCAGAAATAGGCGGTTGCGCCAACTGACAATAAAAATATATAAACAGGAGCACGTAACTATTCAAATATATTTATGACACTCGCCTATTGCTCGTGTCGTAAACTCGCGTCTCGTGAATGATAGGTATCATATAAAACAGAAAAATAGATTTAGATAACGTACATACGTAAGTACCTACAACATGCAAATTACCTTTTGAAATATGAACGGTTGCATTAGTATGTATAAAACAGTTCTGTGTGTAACTACAAAATCCAAAAAATCCCAAACGTACGTTGCTGCTTCGTTTCGTTTGCCCAGTTCTCTCATTGTTCTGCCGATCCTCGACCATTCGCTCATCAGTTCTCCTTCAAAACATATCGCCATAATTTTTAACGCTGGAATAAATTCAGTTCGTTACTAATATAATTCCATTACTAAACGAGTAATGTGATTATGTACCTAGAAAAGCGACCTGGTACAGAGAAGTATTAATTTTAGCCGATGTTTTAGTATCTCTCGTTCCTGTAAAAGTCAAACTTCCAGTACGATTTTCAGAGGTAGGTTTAACATTTGTACCAGAAGGATTGAGGTTTTTGGTGTTCGGAGGACTCATCGCGTGAAGGACCAACGTCAAAGCGAAGCTTATGTCGTTCTGTTTCATTTGCCCAACGTCTAAAAATTGAACAGTATTACGAATTTAGACGAACCTCGGTGTGCTTGTAACCTTTTCTTCCAGATCCCACTCGCAAACACAGAGGCACTATTAAATTAATGATCATGCTTTCGGTCTTATCTTGAGTGGGAAACACGGAACTTCCTCCGCATACTGTTTCTAATGTTGCGCATGTTTCCTGCAAATTAATTTATGAAGAGCCATTTTATAAGTTAATAAATCACATATATACCTGAATATTTTGAATTTGTAGAGCTATCAGTCGAACTACCATGGAACAAAAATGCTGCGGCGGGGCTTGACTCATTAAAGCTGCTGTGGCCCCCGAAACGCCTTCTTGAGAACAGCAATCTACGACTATTAAACCCTACAATCATGCTAATTATTATAACAGAAATAAATTCGAGAATGGGTTTCTCGAACCTGGCAGGTGTTTATGAGCGCCCTGATTTGAGACCAGTGAATAATATAAGGGTACTTCACCATTGTGTCATAAACTCCTTTTAACAGACCCGCTGCGGCATCCCAGTCGGTGTTCCTCTGAAAATATTTTATTACTATTATCAAAAATTACATATTTTTAATGCAAATTTACTCGTATGGAAGGTTTTTTTGAAATTTTTTGGAACACTTTATCGAGTCTTCTTAGAATGGTAACCAGAGCAGGCCTCATCGCATCGTTAGACCAATCAGTAGAAGGCAAAACATAGGTCATGTAATGCTGGAGTCCCCTACAACCCATAGATTCCGGATCATAAGGAGACACTTTTAGAAGAGTATGAGCTATATCAGCCAATCTCTAAAAAATCACATCCAATTAAACAAACAATTTCCGCCGCTAATACCATTCCAACGCACCACGTGCGATTTAATATCCAACAATTCCACCATCTTCCCGTCGCTGTTGTTCTTTTTGTTCAACTCCTGCAGCCTGCTGCCGGCTTTGGCGACGAACTCCCCGACCAAGCTCAGCAGGACGTCCCTGGGTCGGCGGTACTCGGCCCGCAGGACCTCCGAGTCCTCGACGTCGTGCTCGTACATGCTCTTCGCTCGCGAGTGCTCGCTCATGAACTTCGAGTGGGAGTCGTCCTCGAAGTCGAAGCCCGGGGAGTAGGGGCCTCTGCTGTAGTTTCTCTGGCTCGAGCCCTTGTGCTCGGGGCTCGAGCGGTAGGGGCCGTTGTAGCTCCTGGAAAAATGTCTATTTTGATATCAATAATTTTTAGTTCGCTCGATGTGGTAGGTAATTAAGCTATTAAATTGTTTTTAATACTTACTTAGTCAACGACTCGCAATTATTTACCAACGTTCTAATGGATATGGCTAATAAATTTATAATATCCTTCTCTTTTTTGCCTTCTTTATTGTAGGTAGGATGTTGTATTTGTCTTACGTAACAAGGTAATATTGCTTCCAAAATTATCTAAAATCAAATTAGCAATCGAATAATTCCTGGTATGTCTTCTCCCTTCTTCTAAACTTACAAGCATTTGATAGCCTCTTACACTTTCCGAAGAATACGATACTACCATCACGCACATGGAAATACAATCTAGAATGGTGACCATTTCGTCTTCATCGTGGTAACAAAAATCTATAGCCTTAAGAGGCTTATCTTCCTTAACTAATTCGGCTATATTTAGAGGATCTGGTGAGGGAGTCTCCAAACTTAAAAGTAAGTTAAATAGGCAACTGGACTGAATCTACAAAATAAAAGAAACATTACAAATAAAAAATTACTTTCTTATAATAATAATGAATACGACCAATTGCTAAGCAACAGGAAAAAATCTTGTAGAGTTCATAACATTTTAATGGCTATAATAATCATATTAAAATACCTTATGCGCATCTCCATACGTCCCGTCTTCATCTGTATCCAACATAGCAGAAACTGATCCGAACATCTGAAGAATAAAAGGTTTCCTGTTCATCAGATAAAACTGCTTCACGGCATATTCGATGGTGGTCGTCACCAGTTTGTTTGTTTGGTGGTTGGAGTAAATTTTTAACAACGTAGGCATTATCAATAAATACCTACAAGTAATCAAATTGCATGTAACGTAAATAACTTCATGAGGAAATTTAATACCCATTAGTGGAGAAAATGTTTTTGAAATGAAACGCTGCGTTAATGTAAGTAGCAGTGACATATCTGAGAATACAAGCATCTTCAGAATGGAGAACCAACGCCCCGTTGAGAACGTTCACGAAGAGGTGGATGTCACCTGAATACGCGAAGTTTCCAGCCATAGCTTCGAACATTCTGGCGATTAATCTCACCCACATGAATTTGTGCAAGACGTCCAGACCTGGAGCAAAAATTTACAACAAAAACTTACCCTAGAATTATTCATTTTTGAGATATTTACCTAACAGTTCTTTCCCCAACGGTCCGCTTTTATACAAATCCAAATCGGATTCCAACGCTTTCCGGGGAAACGACGGCAACTTCATCAACTCCTCGTGCAGAAACACGACCCTCTGTACCACCATGTCGACGTTCTTCAAGATAGCCCAAGTCAACAGCACTTTGCCGATTTCGCCGAATTTGTGGAGCAATTCTTGCTTTTGTAGCGCGTTGAACGCCACGTCTGGCTTCATGTGAACCAATTCTAGCTGCGGGTACTGGGATCTTTTGAAGAAGTAGTAGTCCCTAACGTAGGAGGCAGGGTTCCTAATTTGATCTGCATGAAAAAGTACAAGTACATAGTATTGTTGGAAAGCTCATGAATAATATAGATTTCTGGCAGTAGAAAGATAAACTCACGAGTCTTATAATCCACAAGAAAGTATTCTTTCTGTTTCTTTTCATCGATTCCAAAAAAGTCTAGCGATTCTCGCAGTATTTGGTAGAATTGCGTATCCTCTTGTACTGGAAATTGAGACGGTATTCCACCAGCATCAGGATCTGTTACAAGAATTAAATACACAATTTGTATAACAAATCAAAATTAATGGGCTCTCTACAAGATTTTACCTTGTGGTCCGTGCACAATAATCTTCTTAGCAGACGGTACGTTAGCTGTAAGCAGAATAGAAGCATCGCATTGTTCTTTCCTCAGAATTTGTTTCAAATCTTTGAACATAATCCCGTGAACGCTGTGAACCACCATCCACAGAACCGACAATGCAGCGCCTATTAAGTTTTGCCCTTCTTCGTGAGGACTCCTCACGTAAAACATAACGTAACCAATAATGTAATTGTACAGAGCAAACGCTGCTTGTTGCGGTAGTTTCGGTATGAATCTGATTAAATGCCTGATGATTTTGAACATTAATTCTTGCTTCTCTCTTGTTAATCTTTCGAGGATGTACCTAAAATGGTCGCAATAAATTAGGATGTTACTGTAATATAACAATTCTTGTACCTCAAGAAAAGTGCGCTATCTTCCACCAAGCAAGTCCAAATTACTTGGTAAGCGACTTCGTAAACTGCGTTGCCATCTGCAGATACTGCAGCGTCGTCGAGGAGGTTAATTATTTGCACTACTGCTGAGCAAAGGCAAGAAGGAAATAGGGAATGGGCGGAATGAAGATGGTGGCCTGTGTGGCCTGCGTTTCTGGTTGGATTTTCAGCTTCTCCATCGTCACCTGAAAACGAATACCGTAACGAACTCGTATTCTATTAGGTACAATAATTTACCTTCTTCGTGTTCGTGCAAGCTGGGCTCATGGGCAGCTTGAATCGTAATAGGTATAGTGGTTATCAGAAAGTTCTCCCTTTCCAGCCTTTTTTTATCGTCTTGGGCTTGCAACGCCATTTTGATAAGCTCGGTTTGCTGCTTCTTCCTCGTTTTTGTAGCGGTGACCAAAGATCTCTGTAAGATTGCCACATACAGTGTTATTTTACATGTTTAATTAGTGAGCTTACATGTCTCTCCTGGTTAATGGTGACCTCTTCGACTTTAGTCTTGACCAGCAATTTCCAAGGTGAATCAACCACGTCCAGAGATTCTATGCCGATTTTCGGTGAAGGTAATGTGAATTCGATACCTGGAGGTGGGACTTTGAAAAGCATTTGTGCGTTTTCTTCCATTCTGGGCCATATTTGATACCGCATCTTCCACAAAACTTGAAATCTAGAAAATGTTGTTAACGATAAAACTAATTGATTAACATCAAGTAATTTTCAAAAATTTTTACAATAAAAAGATAATATTTCTCACCGTAAGATGGCATTGATGCGCACCGCGCAGTCCATATGGGACAAACCGTGTTGCATTAATTCCGAAACTTGCTGGGGAGCTCTGACTGCACCTAGGATAAACAAAGAAGCTGCGCAAGCGGTGACTTCTTGATTGGATTCTAAAAGTAATTCCCATGTGACCGGAATTATGTCCAAGAAATGTTCTTCTGTTAATATAACAGCTCCCTTTAGAAGCACTGCCAGTGGTGAATGAAAAACATCTTTCACCTGGAAGCAGATTTATTATAATATTCATTTTAGTTTTTATAGGAGTAATTTACTTGTGTTTTTATGTATTTCAGAATGGGCGGAGGCGTTTCGGGTTTTTTCTCCGACGTTTGTTTAGCGTCCGAACCGAGATCGGAATCTGCGATATCTCTCGAAGAATCTTTGCAGAACATTTTACCCAGCTGCCCGCCTTCCACGTTTTTGTCGATTTTATCCTTTCTTCCCACGCTGTCTTTTCTTCTTATTGGCGAAACTGTCGAGCTGGTTTGGTCAGAAACCTTCCGGTTTGGCCCTTTATCTTTCTTAGTTTTCTTTTTACCGCCGAAATCCATGCACAATTTATCGTCTAATATACCGAATTCTTCGCCGTAAATTTTCCTAGTGGCTTTTACCAGCCGGCTGCACGCTCTCATCACCCGCCTGTAGCAAAACGGGTGGCAGAAGGATTGGTGAGGGCAGAAGTAATAGAAGGAGTTCGAGACTTGGATCATCGTCTTCAACCAAGGCATGTTCTTGGACGTGTCGTCTGCATCGTTGCTGTCACTCGGACTCTCCGGCGGTTGCTCGTCGCTCAAAACACCCGGAGACTCCTCTCCGCTGACTTCCCCCGGAGCTCCGGGTTCCGAAGTGTCGCTGCGATCAGATATGGAGCTCACTTTTCGCTTGGATTGAATGGAATCGGTGCGTTTGACTGTTTCCTGCGTTTTCCCTGTTGGATAAAAATGCGTAACCTTCCAGTGAATAATTTGCGGTAATAAACATCTTACATTCCATGTCTTCTTTGGTGCCTCTTCTCAGTTTGAGGCTTCTTCTTTTGAAAGAACCTCCGCTTGGTGCAGCGGTTCCCCGCCTTAAAATATAAGAAGGTCTTGATTGCTGCTGCCGCTTAATGTCGTCTCCCTGCAGATATGTCTGGAAATAAAATCAGCAGTGAAATTATAATCGCCGAGATATGTGCAATGTTACCGTAGTGTTTCCGCTGCCTTCTGATTCATTATCGGGCTCTTGGAGAACGAAGCTAATTTTCCTCTCTCCAGTTGGACCTATTAAACCTAAATGAAACAGTAACTGAATTCAATATATTTCAAATAAGCAAACTGACCGTGGTCTCTGTCTCCTGCTATAGATTGTAAACTCTGCGCGGAAGTTTGTGAATGTCCCATAGAAGATAACGCCATGCTCCACCTTCTGTTGGCTTCTCTGCTGTACAATTTATCCCAATGAGTCGGTTTACCTTTTTCTATTACCCTCGAACTTTTCGGTATAGTCTGGTAGGTTTCGCGCAGGAATGCGGTGACTTCCTGCAGGAGCACGCAGGCTATTAACCTCAAAGCCATCGGGCAAGAAGATCCATAAGAATGTATGCTTGCTAAAATTTGAACATTCTTTACAAAATCCTTATTTTCGTCGGAATACTGACCTTCATCTAAGAAATCTTCTTCTTCATCTTGAATGAGTAATTCCCTTTGTTTTTGTTCGTCATTGACCATTCCGATGACCTGTGGTTGCAAAGTCTTGTCTTCGTTGATGAACTCTTCCAGTTTTTGACCAACAATCTAGTACCAAAAATTGAAATGTATCTGATGGAATAATTATAAATTATCTTACTTCTGCCCATTGGTAGAATAACTTTCCAGCTGCCCTTTGGTTTACGTAGGATCTTCTTAAATCCGCAAGGTGGCTAGCTCTGGCTGGTAGAGGTCCAGATTGCCTGTTTAAAGGAATTCCGCACTTTATCCACGATGGCCATTGGTTTTTATTGCAGCAATGTACAAAATATGCACACTCCAGCAGTAGAGTTGCTTTGGCTACTATTGTAGCATGAGGCTGTAAAAATTGGGCAATTTGGTTTCTGGAGTGAATTTTATGTTAAAAAAGAGCAACATACCAAATCTAGTACGGATGCTAACAGGTGAGCGTCAGGTACAGAGCCAGGTTGGCAAGTTTCTAGAAGAAACGAAAGCCTAGAAACTCCTTGGTAAACTAAGGTAGTGGAAATCAGTTTTCTTTCCTTCAAAATTACAAATTCGGATTCTCTGGATGTTTCTCCAAACTCCATAGAGTTCTTCCTGCTGAAATCTGGAAATAATTAATTAGTTTAATTTTTAAAGTGATTAATGTACTTACATCCACAAGCCGAATCTTCCTGACTTCCATCTTTCTTCTTGCCTTTCTTCAATACGAATTTGAATTTATCCTCCATCTTTCGCTTGGCTTTCTGAATACTTTGGCTAACGTTGCTGCAAATAAATTAAACAATTTAGGAATGTGAATGATTAATTTTTCACAGGATACCTTCGGCTAGAGTCTTTGTGATGATAATACTTTGAAGACTGTCTGATGAAACTTGAGGTATCTGTAAAAGAATCTCCGTTGTCCACGTTATCTAATTCATCAGAGGGAGATGTTTCTCCTTTCTTGAACCAACTCACTGGAATTAGTTGATTTGTAATAATTGAATAAAATTTTTGTTAAAAATTACCTAAACCACTAAATTTGTATTTCTTCGATTTCAGTGATACCTGAGGTTCCAGAGCTATTCCCAATGCTCTCTCGCTTTGTCTTGGAGTTAAAACGTGGTGCTTTTTTCTAATATTACCAAGCGGACTTTGGCTGGCTTTAGGCATTTCATCGGTTTCAGTTTCTAATAAACTCTGAAATACAATAAAATTAGCTCACTTTGTTTACTCTTTGGATGGTTACAAATAATATTTAAGCATACCGGGCATGTAGAAGAAGTGCTTCTTTTCTTAAATAGAGACTTTCTCGTTCCTCTATCTTCTGTGTAGGACTGAGTATCAGTGGGAGCGTCTCCTGGCTCTTCGATTTCCGAATGGTGCATGTGCCTATAAAAGAGGGTATAATAAGAATTTTAAGTGAAGAAGTAGGTACAATTGAAGAGAATTCTTATTTACCTGATAACTCTAGTTGTTTGAACGTTGACTTCTTTTTTAGTGGGTCTATCTGCAGTGTCAATTAAAGCGCTCAAAGCAACTCTTCTGAATATACTCCCATGACCTTCTTTAACGTAGGTCACCAGTTGCCTTACTTCACAATATAGAGTCTAAAAAAATTGTCTAAAGTGGAATTCTGGATAAAGTCCAATCAAATTTAAATAAGGGTTTATTAATGCTAGCGGAAAAAATACGAATTTGCTACTTACAATGTTCTCTACATTCTTAACTTCATCGGTGGACTCGACGAATCTGGTGACTAGCGGTTTGAAAACGTGCGACATGATGGTGCTTTCGATGCCCCGTATGCCACCGCCTCCAAGGCCTGTGTCAAAGTTGCTAGCATAACCACCTTGCGATACTGTGTCTTGTGATTTTCCAGAGCCCCTCTTCTGGTCTATCGAAATTTCGGAACGTTTCTCAAACCAAACTAGCAACGAGACTCTACGGGAACGACTTCTTGATGGTACATCGCGTATCCGTATTAAAGTGTCGAAATGTTATTTATATCGTTAATGTTGTTAATATATCGTAGCTACTTTTGAAATATTGTGCTACTGGTATGTTGAAGTGTGTATTGCATTACATGTTTTTTTTTGGAAAATTTACTAGTGCTTCTAGGTGGAAAATATGCGTTAATGTACCGCTCTGAAATGTCATTCCCGATCGAGATGTTTCTAAATTGCCTCTACAGTTTCTACTATTCTAATATGATGAAATCTCAGAAAGTGAGACAGGAGGAACTCGAGAACAAGACCAGTTTCTTAGGTAGTACAGCATACAGTAAAGTTTCGTCGATAGAACAGTACCTATTAGGCATACAATATTTCACAGAGAATATCCAAATTTATATTTTTTTAAATCTAAGCAAGAAATGTTCGTATTATAAAATGTACTAAGAGTTTTTTTAGTTTTAGTTTAGACTTTTTAATTTTATAGTAAAAAATCAAAATTATTCTATGTGAAATATCTTGACGAAATATTGATGATATTTGAAATTAAACAAGAGTTTTATGTAGTCATTAATGTTATAAGATCCACAATTCCCCTTTTAACCATATATGAATCTTAAATGGAATAGTTTAATTTCTATATCTATATTTTTTAAATTTGGAAATTATGGACTCTTTGAATGAAAAACTCAGAACAAGTATAGAAGAAAAATTATCCAGTAAAAAAGAAACTACAATATTATTTATTTGTTATAAAAACTGCATTTAATAGATAATAAAGAGTATCTGTACCTAACGGTATCTGTAAAAATTCTAAACGTTAGTACTTCTAAAAATGTAGTCTCCCTTTTAACAGTATAATACAGCAATAACATCACTATGAAATTCGACAATTTCTTACTTAGAGGCGAGAGAAGCGAGCTGGGATCAATGCAGTAGCCTAAGTAGGAATGGAACAAATCCATCACGTCCGAGAGCGGCTCGTATTTCACATAATCCTTAAGGAAACTTTTGAACTGCTTCGGACTGGCCCTGTTCAACTTCACCAATATGTTCTGAGATTGGGTTCTCATAAATTCGGCGGGCGGACCTCTGAGCCCCTCCGAACATCCTTGGGGACAACCCAAGTGTTTCAATACCCTAAATATAACGTTGGTATTATAAAAATAATTTAAAGAATAAACGAGACCTAATCTCACCTAATGATGGCATTCATTATAAGCCTGTGAGAAGACACTGGCTTGCTTTTTTCAACCTCACTTCCACCGATGGATCCTTTTGTAGTGCTGGCTGGTACTTTTCCAGATCGTTTATCAGGAGTACCGGCGTCTTGTTGTGATATCGAGTTTCCTATGGCTTCCTCTTTCAAGCATTGTTTCATAACACCCATATCCATCAACAGCTCGATCACGTTCAGTATGACTTCTAACACCCTTAATGTGCAAGACCCCCTGTCTCTTAAAGATGTTCTGTGCACAGCCTGGCATCCAAAATACAAGTTTATTATAGCGCATCATGAATATCTGCAAAGATTTACCTGCAAAACAACTTGTATGTCTATGTCTCCGTCTTTGGTTATGTAGCAAGTTGCTCCAGGAGCTTCTGGAACGTCTTCTCCAGCGTAGGTAATGTTCGAATCGGTTTGAGATCGAGTTAGGCTGGCTTTTCTCTCTTGCCAATTGCCCAGCTTGCTTCCAGACAAACTTGCGACATCCAGCTGGCTGTCCATGGATCCCTATAAAGAATTGTGGAATAGTAAAAAACTAGGTTCAAAAAATATATCAAACTGAATATATGAAGGAAATTAAATTTTATTAGTGTATAATAAGAACTTGCTTGTCGTTTGAGGTAATCCGGGGAAGGTGTTGGAGTGTGTTCTGTAACGGTGATGATGGGATTGGCCATGGGCTGAGATGAGGAAGCAAATTTTCCGACTTTCTTTGCTTCCCATTGGCTTTCCTCGATGTACCTGATGATATTAACGGAATATAACGTTTATTACATAGGATTTAAAATCATTTTTGTGCGAAAACATATAAGAAAAGAAGCGTAAAAACGACGCCTACGGCTTGAAAATGGAAAGACGAAGCTTTTAGAACTCAAGATATTATATTAGCCAATTCTTCAAAGAAATAATAACTATAGAAGCTCTCTAAAATACATACACACATGAAAATGTAAACTTAACGAAGACCCTTTAATAAAATGTTACCTTAAAAAATCTTTCACTTAAGGCTAGAGTTCAATACTATGAAAATATGTGTAAAAATGTTGAAAATTCCGCGACGTTTTCAGGGCGTATTTTGAAATTTGAAAGGAATATTAACAGAAAGAACTAAATATACCTGATGGAGAGACGAAGCCCTTTCGCATTTGATCAACAAAATGTTGAAAGTAGAGAGAAAGTTTTGTGCATAAAAGTAGAGAGAAAATGTTGTGCATAAAATTAGAGTGAAAATTTTGTGCATAAAAGTAGAAAGAAAATTTTGTGCATAAAAGTAGAGAGAAAACTTTGTGCATAAAAGTAGAGACAAAATTTCGTGCGTTAAGGTAGTACTTTTCAGCATTTTTACGCACATTTTCATAGTACTGAACTCTAGACATAACTATTTCATTCGACTTTTTATGTGCGTACTTTTTAATTGTCTAATATAATGTCCATATTAACTCCAATACACTTACCCTCCGTTATTAAGTTCGTCTAAAATACAGCTAAGAAAGACAGAATAATAAGAACATTCAAACAGACAAAGATGCACGTAAAGATATACTAGTACGTAGATGAAGGAACTACACAACACATATCAAACATAAATTTTAAGAGAAACCTCCATTAAATTTCTTTGAAATACATCAAAAAATACTACTTCTAATTTCTATAAAATTTTTATACTACCTACATAGAGGGTTATCCACTTAACAAAGGGGAAACATGAAATCTTTACAAGTACTAATAGGAAATGTAAAATATTAATTAATTAAATTATTTTATAATGCGTATGAACACTACAGTTTATATTCTAGTTGCATATAATGACTAATATTAGGGTTACAGTTTGTATTATGTTTACTAATTGTTTCATCCCTATTTTTTACTAAAAATCTCCCATCACTAAAAAAGTGTTGTTAAATTTTAACATTAACTTTACTTTCATTCCAATTAAATCAACTACCTAATCAAATGAGTATTGATATAACTCTTTGAAATAATTAAAATTCCTACTCAATTATTTTAATTATAATGGTTTTACCTCAAACTAGGCATGCTCTTTCCTTTCACCAAATTACTGGGCGGTTCGAACGTCCTGGAAGTTGATGATTGAGGCCGGGTAAGCCGTTCATCTCCCGTATCCAAACTCCTGTGATATTCCTGCTTTAAAAAAAGTAACACAACAATTAGTACTTTTCATTCATCATACATATAATTTAGAATATTTTACATCACTTACATACTGAGCATTGTCTCAGTAATTCTTTCGAACCTAAAGATTCACTAAGAGACTAGGCAGATATAAACACGCAGAGACACAACAGTACGGAAAAAGGCGCTTATAATCTATAAAAGCAGCATAGAATAGTAGAGAGATTTAGAGAGATACATACGAGTACATTTAACATTCGCCTCGAACCCACCGAAACTTGGCCTAAAGGCTTTTGCTCCTCTTGACCTATCTTTTCCAACGCCTTGTCGGACTTTGACAGCAATTTCGTTTCAACGAATGTCTTTAAATCGGTTATTTTCATTCGTTTCTTAATTTTCTCGCTGGCCGTTCTCTTATGTAGAGATTCCTCGGACTTTGATTGACCGTGAAATGGGGATTCTGCAGCAAAAAACATAAATTAATTAAATTCGCATCTACTAGACAACAAAAATAATATAACTACCAGCGAGCAGAGACACATCCTTCGGTTCTGGAACTTCAATAAAGTCTTTGTTACTGGTATCGCTCTTTTTCGAATCGTTGCTTTGATAAAGCGACACTTCTATTTTGGGTATAGGCAGAGAATTGCTTCTCTTTCTGGGCTGCTGCTGCCCTACAGATTCATCGTTTATGTCTCTTAATCTAGAACCGAATTGATAATTAATTTGTTTATTAAGGAGCCAAACGGTACGAACCTGTTAAATAGAAACAACAAGGCCCAATAGATGCCTTCCTCCTGCCATAGAGTTATAAACAAGCACCTCAAAACTGCCACATCTAGGAAAGTAGCTGCCGAACTTTTTTGTACAGGCATGGCCCTGCCAAATTCGTCTTTCCCTTGTGCCTCAGTCGAGGGCACTTTGCTGCTATCAAGGGAATCTTTATCAGTCGATGAGCTGTTAGAATTATAAATTATACAAGGATGTTTTAAGCATTTTGTGAGAGGGTGTTTACCCGACTTTCTGCATCGGAGGTTTAGCAGAACTATGTTTTCCTTCTCCTGGAGATATCTGCTCGGCTTTCAAATTGCTTTTTCCACTGCCGTTTCTCCTCATCGCCAACTGTATTATGCTAGTCTCAGCCTGTAAATGGTACTAATAAATGAAATTTACGAGATTATGAGATTATCTTACCGTATAAATGGAGGGATCTCTCGTGAATCCGTCAGATTCGTTTAGAGAAGGTAGCCTGAATATCACCACGTGCTCCTCTTCGGTACTGGAACTCTCCTCAGGTATGGTCTCCGGAAAGACCGTATCTTTGGGAGAGGATACCCAGGAATTCTGCAATAAAATCCAAAGAAGTAAAGCAAATAAAGTAAATGTGATTGGTTATACATCATCATCAACTTTAGTGGTTATGGTGGCTGTTATCGTAACTGGAGTGCAAGATCCTGTTGCAGGAAAATGCTGCTGCTCCGAACTTGAAGCGCTTATCCCTTGGCTTACAGTGGGGCTGTCTCTGGTCAAAAGTTCGTCATGGGATTGTTTTCCTAATAAAAATTAATGTATTAAGAAATTCAAGTTTTATGCTCATTCAAATAGTGGGTGTGAGGGTGGTACGTACTTCCAACAAAGACATCTCCAAAAAATTGTTTATTTTTGCTAGTTTTTCCATTTAAAAATTTAGGTTTGGGTTTACAGTGGGAGACAAAGCACGGCGCGTCGGGATGACGGTACTCCCATAAGGGCTGCCATATCTTTAGGCCGTTCTCCAAGCGGAAGTTTTGAAAATCTGATTCCTTAAGATTGTTGCAAATCGGCACGAATAAATAGACGAAGAGCTGGAAAAGGCAGAAGGTATTATACAGTTTTATCAGCTACTGATTTAAACAGTTTTCTTACTGTTATAGCAGGAATGGAAAACAAATAGTAGAATGGAGAGGAATGATAGATTCCCTTCTCGTAATCTTCATCTGCGCATTCTTCTACTGCATCTAGCAGAATCCAATGGAGGGTGTACATTAGTTTGGTTTCCACCGCTCCCAAATTTTGAATATTCCCATCTTTTATCCTAAAAAAAAACTATAAATGTACAATCCACCATTATGGATAAGAGGATAAGTATATTGTAAAGAAGGCTGTTAATAACATAAGTTCTAGTTACCTGTTATAAAGTATAGAAGCTACAGCGTGCATAACATGGGGTAATGAGGCTTGAATCAGTCTCCACCTAGGAATCGATTTTATGGCTTCATTTAGGTCCGCTTTTAGGCCCGATTTGATGTTTTGAACGAGAACTTTTTCAAATGATTTGCAAGCTTCTTTTAGCTCCTATAACGCAAAAAAATAAATCCAGTCATAAAATAAATGCAGTAGTGACGCTGAAATTTAACATTGAACTTCCTAAATTAAATGTCTAACAAAATGTATGTAAGAGAAAAATATAAGAGAAAAACTTACGTGATGGCCAGTACTCGCATGTTGACAAAACTAAAAAAATATTTGTTATTATTAAAAACATAATAAGATGTGTAGATTGTGCAAACAAGAAAATGAACTTACCGTACATGATGCTTCATGTAACTTTCCAAGTTTGGGCTTCACAAAAGGACTGGAAAAAAGCGATAGGTATAAAAAGAATGTCCAATAAATTATATTGTTTGCAATATTTATTATTTTAAAAATATACTAACCCCACTTGTTTCCACAGGAATATTTGAATGGGAATCGGCAGAGCATTGTCTGCTAAATTAATTTCTGCGGAACATCTTCTTTCTTCAACCATTTTTCAATCAGTTCTTGTTTAATCCAATAGTGTGCATCCTAAAATATTAAAGTTAAAATTAAATTTAGATCTTTCATATTATTAGAATTAAAATAACAGGAAAATTCGTGGTAAAATATAGGTAGATATTTCTTTACTATTACAGGTACTTTGCTTTATTTTACTATATTTAGTTTATCCATAAAAATAGTTACGTAAATTATATAACTATCCTGACCTACTTTAATATACTTAGGTAAATCCTCTCACATATGAACCAAAAATTAAATTAATAATAAATTGCAATTGTTATTTTCATTTACATACCTTTAATAACTACAGTCTAACTAACCCTCGCTTCTAAAAACAATTAACAATAAATTTGAAAATGAATGAGTTTTCTTTTGCCGATAATCTCGCCCGCACATAGTGTCCCTGTTTTCCCGAAGACCGGGAGTCTGTGCGCGCGGGATGAAAATACTCCGGACTATCGATTTATGCAATATGCGCGCTGTGTTCTAGAAACTCAAAACTATTTGTATATTTTAAAAAAATAATGGTTATTGGTTGAATCTATTTTTTTTTTTAGTTGCATATAAGATGTTTCTTAAATATTTGGAGAAAATACTTATGCTGAAATAATAATAAATATAAATATAATTACACTGAGGGATTACAACTTTCTGACTCTAACCACTGTTATTATAATAATCTTTCTTTGTTCAACTCTTAGAATTGATCATGTTTATTGATTTATATATTTATTAAAAATGTTTGCACTTGTCTATATGTATAGGATTAGGATTATAGGCAATAAAAATACAAAAATCTACTTACTTTTTGAATAAATTAAAATTACCGCCTCAAAGTGTCATTATAGGCAACCTATTTTACAACGAATTAATATTTTTAGAATCATATTTAAAAGGGTACAAATTGCCACATTTGTTACTAGCTTATATTACTCTAACATTACTCCAACGTATATTCTTAAATGAATTATTTCAATTGATAATCTGCTAGCATTAAATTTAAATTTCCCGCCTTAATTTTTCTATTCGCATTCAAAATTGCTAGATCATAGGACGGATTCAAAATTCAAAGATGTCAATACTGTCAAACTTGTCAAAAAACCACTGTTTCATGTCAGATTTCTCGTAACTGAAATTTCTTATCGGCCTTTTGCATAAAAATCGTCGTTCTTTTCTTTGTTCGTTTAGTTTATTTCATTTAAATTAAAACTCCCATCAAGCAAACCGAATTTCAAGTAAGTACTTCCTATATTACGTTTAACTAGTGTTCCTAACTCCATTATTGCGCATTACATTGCTGAAAAGTTTGAAAACCGGTTAATTTTTTCTACCCTTAACTCGACAGCCATCCATTAAAAACGTGGTTTCAAAAACTCCAACATTAATTTCGACTTGTTTTCAGCTAAAATGGCAGACGAAAACCGAATTCGCTCCTTTAAAAACAAAGGCAAGGACACCGAGGTTAGTTTCAGTTGTCGCAAAATTTTTTGTAACAATTCTAAATATCCTGCAAAATTTGTTTAGGAAATGAGACGTAGGCGAATCGGCCAAACTGTGGAGCTCCGCAAGGCCCGAAAAGACAACCAATTACTGAAGAGAAGGAACATCTCCACTTCGGAGGAACCTACTTCCCCGTTGCAAGAGAAGAATGCCTCAGCGCCCCCGTCGATGAACGCTGATGAAATTATGTATGGTAAGAACGACATATTTAATTCCTATTTTTATATTTCCCCGAAACATTTGGGGATATTGTAATCGTATGTCTGCAATTATTAATTAACATTACCTGGATTTTAGCAATGATGAGCCCAGACGAGAACATCCAATACCAGGCCACTTTAGCTTGCAGGAAAATTTTGAGCAGGGAAAAGACACCACCTATCGACCAAATGATCAGATTGGGTGTCGTACCGAGATGTGTGGAGTTCCTAACAAAATCGCACAAGTAAGATAATTTATTTTAAACATCTAATGTTCTAATCACATGAATTATTTATTGCAGTCCTGCTTTGCAATTTGAAGCTTGCTGGGCCTTGACCAACATAGCTTCCGGTACTTCCGAACAAACAGCAGCTGTCGTACAAGAAGGCGCCATTCCACGTTTACAAGCGCTTCTTTCATCTCCGAAAATCGAAGTGGCCGAGCAAGCCATTTGGGCGTTGGGAAACATTGCTGGAGACGGGCCTGAGACTAGAGACATGATTCTAAACGCCAACGTCTTGCCGGATTTCCTGAGACTGATTACACCGGCTACTTCCCTCTCGGTTCTGAGGAACACCGTTTGGGCCATATCCAATTTGTGTAGGAATAAGGTAGCAAAATCGCCTGTACACCTACATTATTCACTAATAATTCTTATCCTTCAGAATCCGTCCCCGAATTTCGAACTTCTGAGACCGGTTCTACCATTCTTAGCCAATTTGATCAATCACGATGATGATGATATCCTGGCCGATACTTGTTGGGCTCTTAGTTACCTAACTGATGGTCCTAATGAGAAAATCGAAGCTGTCTTGGCTACAGGTCTCATCGATAGATTGGTGCAATTGTTGAGTTCTGATAAGAACGCGGTACTAACTCCAGCTCTGAGAGCCATTGGTAACATTGTTACCGGTAACGACGTGCAAACGCAGATGGTAATCAACGCTGGAGCATTAGAAATGCTGCGCAAGTTACTCGGTCATCCGAGGTTGAACATTGTAAAGGAAGCTGCTTGGGCTGTATCGAACATCACTGCAGGTATATTGCGATACAGCTGGTGTTTGAAACTTGGTTAATATTTGGGGTTTTTGCAGGTAATGGTGAGCAAATCCAATCTGTGCTGGATGCAGGAATTATGCCTCCGCTTCTGCAAGTGCTCCAAACCGGAGACTTCAAAAGCCAAAAAGAGGCTGCTTGGGCGGTTACGAACTACACCAGCGGCGGTACCATTCCTCAATTAGCGAAACTCGTCGAATTCGGAGCCCTGAAGCCATTGTGTAACTTGTTGAATTCAAAAGACTACAAGACTGTATTAGTTGTATTAGACGGATTAAACAACATTCTGAGCGTATGCATGAAGAATTTACTCCTTATTTTTTCTTTATGATTATCATTAATTATTTTAGGCCGCCCAAAAACTAGGAGAACCCGAGAAAGTAGCCATAATGATTGAAGAATGCGGCGGGCTCGATGGAATTGAAGCGCTACAAAGCCATGAAAATGAAAAGATATACGAAAAGGCTCTTAGTTTAATTGAGAATTACTTCTCTGAGGTATTGTATAAACTTGTGCTTTTAGTGCGCGAACATTCTTCATGTTTTTACCCAAGAGAATTGAGTTTATGTAATGTATATTTATTGTTTTAGGGCGGCGCTGAAAACGATTATGAACTTGCTGTTCCTCAAACTACTAATGGTCAGATCCAATTTTCATCTACCGCCGAAGTGCCTAGAGGAGGATTTTCTTTTTAAAAAATCATTAATTTTAGTTATTTTTATGTTAGTCGTAAATCTTGTTGTTTTGTAATCGACCTATTGATTTATTTTAAATTAAGAATTAATCATTATTCTATGTATTTTGTACTATTTTTTCACCAGTTTCATGTTATTCTCTCTATTTTTTTACTGAAAATTAGATTTACCTTTATATTTTCATAATTCTAATAAAAATTTTCGCTATATTCGTTTTATATAATATACAATCTGTTTTAAAAAATCATTAGTATTTACAGAATGATTAATTTTAGTTTGCAATATAGGGTGTATAAGCTGTGGGTGCGATAAAGACAACTTCCATTAGACACTTATACAGGAAAATAGTGGTTTGTGCCACTGCAACTTTGCAATATGGCCTTTGGGTGCAACAAAGACATGTTCTATTAGTCTTAAAGAAAATATTTTCCCTCTCTAACCAGTCATTTTAATAATCTCTTTCTTCAGCGTTCAACTCGTAGAAAAGACCATATTGCAAAATTAAATGAACCATAGGGTTCATCAACTTTTGTTGACCATAATTGTATCGTTACAACTATTGGAAACAAATGGGCAAAATTAAAACAATTTAATTTTTTTTTGATTTTATATTAGAATTTTTTAACTTATAAAAAACAATCCCTTTAAGCTACAGCTACAGGAATAGCTGTAGGAACGTCCTGCTTGATGGGTTTAACTTCACTGCTCGGGCAAAGCGGCAGAGTCTCCTCCTTGGGCTCGGCAACGGAAACGTTGTCTGGAAGAGGCTTCTTGGGTCCAGTTTTACCGCTGGGGTCCCACGGCAACATGATCTTTACTTTAATGCCCAGCACACCTTGCCTCAGGAGTACGTGACGGGTGGCTGTGTCTACGTAGTCATTGCACGGGTCTCCGGAGTGGATCATGAGACCGTCTACGAACTTCATGGACTTGGCTCTTTGTCCTCTCAGTTTACCAGACACTACTACCTCGCAACCTAAAAATAACGATAGAAATAATGTTAAGTATAAAATGTGACTGGGAGAAAGATAAAATTGGGGGTGTTTTGATTTGAACGAAAGTTAAATTCATATTTACCTTTAGCTCCGCATTCCATGATGTACCTCAAGACACCATAGCAAGCCCTTCTGACGGCCAATCCCCCGATCAATTTGAATCTTAAACTCTCGGCTTGTGCAATTGCACACAAACCCCTGTTGGCCACTTTTTCTCCATACAAAACTACGGAACTCTCGGGGAAGTTGAACCTTTTCTGGACTACGGAAGTCAATTCTCTGATTCTGCGGTTCTTTTCGCCCAATACTCGGTCGGTTCTGGTGGCCATAATAATAATTTCGGTACGGGTTGGGGTAACTCGTACTTCCACACCAGAATAACCATCTTCGGATAATTCTCTGGTCAAAAATTCGTTCAATTCGGCTTTGAAAACGCCGTCGCCGACGAATTTGCGTTTTTTCGAAATTGTAGCAGCCATTTCACTAAAGGCTTACACGGAAAAGAAACAGCCACGAGGTAACTAGGATCTAGTAACTTTTGTTGGCAGTATTGACGTGAACGTCACTAGTCAATCGTTATTTTCTGTTTCTGTTGTTTCCGTCCTTTTTCAAATAGACATAAACCAATAGAAAATAAGGAATTAAAATAACGTATGACAACCATCATTTGTCAAAGTTGTCAAATTTAAAATATTTTGTTACCTGTCAATTCTGTCCTTAGTGTTGCTTTTTTGGGTTATAATTTATAAAAACAATTTTTGGAAGGTGCCGTGTTTATTTAAAATTAGTAAAAATTTCTTCAAATCTGGATGATAAAACAGAAATAATGATTGCTGCCTCAGACCCACAGGTTTAAAACAATGCATTATATTTATAATTCTCCGTTTTAATCGGTTTATTTTAGGAATATGTTCCAAGTGGCCGGCAGCAAGCATTACGCCACCCCGGCCCCATGGAAGCTTCCATAAAAACTGATATACCCGAAATAGACGACCCCATTTTGAATAAGCTCGAGAGCGTGTCTTTAACGGATAGTAAAAAAACAGAATGGTGGACTCTGAGAAAGGTACAAGAACTGAAGCAATACTGCCAAGAAACGAAAGAACCAGATAGAATAGAGAACAAAAGTTTTATGACCTCTAATTATAGACGGAGGTATAGTGATATTTCCGATGATTCTTTCAGTTTGAAATCGAACGTGGACGTTAGTTTGAATAAATTTGGAAAAAGATTATCGGATGTAAACTCTTCGAAATTTTCAAATAAAAGGCTTTCAGTAGACAATGAGCCTAGGGACAAAAGCGACGGATGTTTCCTTAGCCAGAGAACTGGCGAATGTAATTTTAAAACCAAGAAAAATGCCACATACATGGAAGATGAATTATATGTTAATGGCTATACAGTTACTTGGTCCAGGGGTTTAGTGAATAGTTACGATGATTTAGATAACGGAAGGAAAACGATTTGCTCTTACACTTCCGATTTTGTGATAAAGCAAGCCTTGTGGTGTACATTTTACTGCGAATGTCCAGTCTTCCACGAAAACTCCATGAATTTCGTTAATTGCAATGAATCGACCGGTACTCCCATTGAATCCGTGTGCATCACAGATTCTCACACCATTCAGGTGTTCACTCCGAAAGGCGAAGATTTTACAGTCTCCGTGCCATTTATTTTAAACAAAATATGGAACACCAAATTTGGAATTTTATTGTCGAAAGAAAGTGGAGGTAATATTTTGAACTATTCGATTTATTGCATTTCAATTTTGTTTTGTAGGTTTTCCTAAAGATTACTTGTATGAAATGAAAGGCACTTTGTATTCTTTGGCATATCCTCTGGATGATGTATGCCCCGTAGTCGTTAACCAAAATGGCTACCTGTCAATTTTAAATAATAGTAGTGTACAAGTTGTTTTTACTTCAGTTAATCCAAGTATTTGTATGGTCTTCGATACTGCTACTAAACAACACAGTGTATATAGAATAAGAAAATTAAGACCAAATGAATACGATGCTGGAGACAAATTGTCTAGTATGTGTGCTAATCAATCAATTAAGGTATACAAACTTAAAGCATTAAATTATGATGTAATAACAAAGTCTATTTTTAGTTAAAAAACAAACTTTCTATGTGGGAAAATGTTAACAGTAGGATTTTACCGCCTACTTCGATTACCACCATTTCAAATACAGCGCATTTTCCTAACAATAGATCTCAAACCTCAATGGCCATGGTGAGGTATGTAGAACTATTAAAAGCTCTATAAGTACAAACTAACGCGATACAATTCTACTAGCTTTAGAAAGTAAAAGTCATTGAAATTAACTTTTCAGTCGATGCCAATCACCTGCTCCTTCTTCATACAGCAGTCCTTGGGTACAACGTAACTCCCAAATGTACAGTAGTATAAAGAATTCCGAGATAAATAAATCTTACTTCGATTTGTCCAAAACCGCGTCGTTTCTTAGGGCGAATCCGTCCCTTTGTTTGGATTATTTGTGGACGGACAATTACTCGTTTCAGTAAGCAAATATTCTCTAGCTGTTACACCAGTTCTGTATCAAACTGTTCATTGCAGAGATACCAATATAGCTGCACCTGCAACTAAAGTCTTCTTTACGGAAGATTTCGTAGGTCAAAAGTACCTATGCTACGTTTTAGATACCAGATCTCAATTATCAATAGTTAAAGTAGATTATTCAGGACGAAATTTTACCTTTGGTGTGCTAACTAGTATTAGTGCAAAGGACGCGGCGTCTATACCAGTTAGTAGAATTTGTTATTGCAAAATTGTATGATTATTATAATATACTTTTCAGCATCTACGTATGTTAGCTATATTAGAACATAGCGGTAACGTCACTTTATATTCCGGATTAAATGTTATCGGAAAATTGCATATTGGAGGTACTTTAGCTCAACACGCACCTTCCCCCTATATCAGGAGAGCAGCCTACTCCCCTTACCCACGGTAAGGTTTACTTACGAACCATTTTCTAGCGATAAGAGTTCTCATTTACAGACGGAGTACTCTCCTGCCTCATTTGAAACCAGGAGATCTGAAATTCGATGAGCACTTGCTCTCTCCAGTTTTACCTGCCATATCAAGAGTGGGTTCCAGAAGTTCCATTCTTCATTTAAGTTACACCGAACGTATGCAAATCCACCCTGAATTCGTCGTTAGAGTTAACAAAAGTTCTTTCAGATGACAATAAAAAAGTGGTCTTGAGCAACCTCATGGACGCCATCGAAGACCGATTAACGCTCAAATACACGGACGGAACGTGCTACAGAATCACTCTACCCAGCATTTCTTCTACTTCTTTGGTGGATAGTTGTTTAATAGCTTTACGCCAGATTCTTCCGAAGGATATCGCAGCGGTGCTGTTGTGTAGATGGTACGCTACAAAAAACGTGATAGGTGCTCAGGATACGACTTTCGAACAAGAGTGGAATATGTTCGCGCTTCTATTATTCGGTAATTGGGGAAAATTATTTTGTTAATAGAAGATACAAGAGGAATATGCAGGGTGTTAATTAATGCAATGTACTCATTTTAACGGATTCTTGGGCTAATTTTGAGTCGAAAAGTTCATATAAAGTTATGTCCTCCGAAGCTCGGGTTTCGATATACAGGGGTTCTAAAGTTTTATTTTTATTTAGGTTTTTTTTCATAAATTTGAAAAATCATAAAGAAGAAAATCATAAATTTTTATAAAACCGTTTGCGATATTACATTGAATTCTAGGATACCATATTAAGGTATAAATACGCATTTTTTAAACAGATTTTTTTTTATTTTATCCATTGGCGTAGATATGGGTAGGTCTTGGTACATTTTTATCTCAAAAAGTAGTACGCCACTGTTTTTTAGAAACTTAAAAATTATTGATAACCATATCATTTTAAACAAAAAACTTTCTTGCGTTTTTGCCGTAGAACTTATCATTTTAAAGAAAATAATTAAAAGCTCTAGTTGTTACATCTAAAACATCAAACCAAAAACTATCTACTTACCTAAATTCATAATAAGAAGAAGACATTTTATGTATACATAGATATTGTACAAGCGTAATTATAGCATAATATGTTATCCTAGAATTCAATAACGTATATCGCAAACGGTTTTTCAAATTTTCAAAATTAAAATACAACCTTGTAGGTATATCGAAAACCGAGCTTCAGAGGACATATCTTTATACATATAAACTTTTCGACTCAAAATTTATTGAAGAATTACCCATCAAAATAAGTGTATATTACAGAACTTCTTGGATATGACTATGATCAAATCAGTGACGGATCGTCAGAGCCACCCATAACGCCGTCCAGTCTATCAAAGAAGCAGAAATATTCTTCGGGAACGGATCAAGATTGGTCATATTTGCTATCCTCCGATCACACGAAATGCAACGAAAATCTAATCGCCACGTTGAAAATCGGTAACCCGCCCGACTCCTCGAAAAACGAACGTGGTTTCGAAGGAATGATAGACACGGGAGGCGTTTTGTTCCCCTACATCAGGCAAATACACTTCAGTTTCCACTTACTCTACGAAGACATCAAGCTCAACGTATTCAGATCGGAGGAACTGCTGCCGTTGATGAAGTTTCTAAACCGACTGTCGCTCGATCTCGACCTGAAGGAATACAGCTTGCACTATTGGCTCGATTTTCCCGAACACGCCGTGATCGAGGCCAAGCCCGCCATTCCCGACAACGAGCTGAAGAACATCGCCGTTTGGCCCGGATTCTCCCAAATGCCTTACAGCGTCTTCAGGTCTATTTACAACATGCTGGACGAATCTTACTTTCAACCCTACCCTTATTTACCTAATGTGAATTCCAGATCGAGGGATATTTTGGAGGTGAAGATGTTACCATATTTTAGTACTTATTTGTACTTATCTGTATTTTTTTTAGTTGTGCGGTATTGTTACTGAAAGTGATAATTCTCATTCGATGAGCGAGGTGGATTTAAATAGTTTCGTTAAAGAAATCGACTGTACCACTCTTAAGGATCTACCGCAATCCGCTTGCAATCAAAAGAAATTATCGAATAACGTACCCGCTGCTGCTCAGCTTATTTTGCTCATGGTTGAAAAAAATATTACAACCAGGTAACCTACAAGCCACTTATTCGCTAAAAACTATACAAAGTGTTTTTTAATAACATGCTAATACTGAGGGGGTGTTTCTTGGGCCCATTTTAAGAAAAAAACTTTATATGAACAGAAGTCCTAAACATAAAATTTATTATCTAATTTCGCAACAGCGGCTAATGAGCGGTAGCTAGAAATGAATGCATTTAATTTTTTTTATGCGAAACGGTAAGTCGTACGAAAAAAAGTCAAAAAATCAAATTTGTTCTAAATTGAACGGGGTCTCCAAAAATATTTTTTATTTCAAGAGAAAGCAGTGGTGTACCACTTTTACCCTCAAAAATATTTGGTCCGAGTCCAGTACGGATGCCATTGTTGGAAATAAAAAAATGTTTTTAAGTCAAAAATGCTCTTTAATGCATAACCGCCGTACACCAAATTTCATAAAAATATTTAAAGTGGTATGGAAATGACAGTAAAACATGTTTTTGTTTCTTAAATCTTTAACACCCTTTATCTCAAAAGTTAAGACGTTTAAGACATAGATCAATATGAAGTTTTTTTTCTTAAAATGGTCCAAAGAATCACCCCTTCAGTATTAGCATGTTATTAAAAAACACTCTGTATACATTCCGAAATTTGTTTTAGTTACCTGGATACGTTACCGTACTCCATATTTTACCTACTCTACAATACATTGTGGAAGTGCAGAGAAAACCCTCCCGCCGACTGGCCCCCCGAAGCGTATTACCTGATATGGAGAGAAGACCTGGCCGCTGCGGCGGTGAAAATTAAGAAAGAAAAACAGGAATATTCGCAGGAGCTTTTGGGAATGTGCAGCAACACCCAATTGGAGGACGTTATGCCAGGTGGTTCAATCGATCTGTTACTCGCTAACTTTATCTAACAATTCGTCCCGTAGGCATCAAAGCGGATTTCGAACAAACCGACGGCATGGAGGATATCGACAATTCGCTGATGAAACTCCGATTCAGCGACGACGTGAGAGTGAACGAGGCCAGGAAAATGCTGCAGAGCTCGAGGCCGGTGTCCATAGTTCTGACGCAAAGACCCGACGTTTCCGATCACGATTTCATCGAGGAGCAGGAAAAACACTTGTACGGCTTATGCATCAGGACGATGGCTTTGCCCGTTGGAAGGTAATATTGAAGTACCGATTCACAATTGCTCCTCTGAGTCCATGAGTTACCCTTTTTAGCAGCGAGATTTCTGTATTCTGATTTGTTTTTAGGGGAATGTTTACGTTGCGTACAGCTAGGCCTGTCATTACGGAGCCTCTTCCTGCTCCACTGCTTTGTTTAACCGGTAAAGCACCGCCTAGAGGTACCACAGTTGATTTAAGTCATATCGATACGCCGGCAAATATGCATTTGTGGCCGCTTTTCCATAACGGCGTGGCCAACGGCTTGAGAATTACTCCTGACGCCCATAACATCGATAATAAATGGATTACGTTCAATACGAACAAAGGTGATCTATTGGAAAAGTAAGAGAGCTAATTTATTTGATTTTATATCGTTAAAGGTGGTACTGATTTACAAATGGAGCACGCCGGTTTCCTGCTAGCGTTAGGACTGAACGGTCATCTTAAAAATCTCGCCTTTGACAGTACGTTCAACTATTTAGAAAAGTTCCACGAAATGACCAGCGTAGGAGTTTTATTAGGTAATGTATTCAAAAACTTTCGCTGGTTCGGCTCATATCGAAGACTTTCCTGCGATTTTAGGGCTTTCTGCAGCCTTCAGGGGTACCGCTCATCCTTCGTTAACCAAGACACTTGCGATACACGTAGAAGCTCTGCTGCCTCCGACCTCCATGGAATTGGACATACCTCAAACACTGCAAGTAGCGGGTTTGTTAGGAGTAGGGTTGGTGTACGAGGGTACGGCACACAGGCACATGACTGAAGTACTTCTCACGGAAATCGGCCGACCTCCAGGTCCTGAAATGGAAAATAGTATAGATAGAGAATCGTATTCACTATCCGCCGGATTGGCCTTAGGGTATGTAATAAAGGGAGCCCAAATTATTTTTTCTGAAACTTGTTGTGGGCACCCTGTATATTAGAAAGAAGGTTGTGAATGTTATACAGGGCGTCTCTTCAGTTTATACTTTTTTTAACTGCGTATAGATCTTTTAATTCTAAGCAACTTTTTCAAATTATTTTTTTTAATATTCTGGAAAATAAAACAGATGGAAATATCTTAAATTTCTTTAAATTTCGAATATTTTCCAATACGTACCTGCCATTACCATACAGGTGTCAAAAAAAAAATAAAAAGTAATTAATGACAAAAAATTAATTTATCGATTGTTGAATTGAAAATGGGTCATCTTTATACAAATAATGAATTGTTGGACATGCTGATTATTTAATTAGAGTGTTTCCAAAGCGTTTCCAATCAAAATGGCGACAATTTTGAGCAGTTCCTTTAACTTTTAATGAACAGGGCCGTATTAAATAAATTTTGAATAATTAAAAATTGAAAAAACATGCTCTTTACTAAAAATTTTACTTGAAAAAGTTGCTTAGAATTAAAAGATGTATACGCTGTTAAAAAAAATGTATCAACTTATGAGACACCCTGTATTTCGCCATTTTATTTTTAGATTAGTAACATTAAAACAAGGCGACCGTCCTTCGGGTTTGTCCGATTTAAACGTACCGGATATGCTGCATTACTATATGGTCGGAGGAAATAAAAGACCGCTCACTGGTATAATCGTGATTACAGTACATAGGCATTTATTAGAAGTTGATATATTCTAGGATCTCAAAAAGACAAATATAAAACGGCTTCGTTTCAAATCAGAGAAGGAACTTCGGTGAATTTGGACGTGACTGCGCCCGGAGCCACGCTAGCCCTCGGGTTGATGTATTTGGGTACTAATAATAAAGCAGTGGCCGATTGGATGGCCCCTCCGCAAACGCAGTATCTATTAGATTTCGTCAGGCCGGATTTTCTTTTATTAAGAACTTTGTCTAGATGTAAGACCTTATTATTATAAGGGCAAATTTCACAGTATTTATGCACGTACACTTTTATTGTAGCGCTTATTTTATGGAACGATGTAGAACCAACGAAAGAATGGGTCGAAAACCAAATACCTTCTACCATCAGGCCGTACTGTATGGTAAACCCTACGCACAACTTAAACATCGACTATGAAGCTATGAAGTGTGTATCGAATTTCTTTATGTATTTACAATTAGATTAACTTAAAAAATGGTTTTGTTCTAGTCAGGCGTATTGTAACATAGTCGCAGGAGCCAGCTTCGCTTTGGGTCTCAAGTTCGCAGGAACCGCCAACGAAGAAGCGTACGAAACTCTATTACATTTCTGTAACATGTTTACGTCACTAAACGGAAAACCTGTAGCCGATCTTGCCGGTAAATCAACGATAGAAACGTGCTTAAACGTGCTCCTTCTTTCAGTTTCCATGGTATGTGGACTTATTTCAAAAGTAATTACAGATAAATAGCTTCTTGTAACTTTACAGGTAATGGCGGGTACCGGTGATTTGGAAATAATACGATTGGTGCGCCATCTCAGACGAAGGGTGGGAGTTTCTAACAGTCAAGTCGTAACTTACGGATCTCATTTGGCCATTCACATGGCATTAGGGCTGCTATTTTTGGGCGGAGGGAAGTATACCTTATCGAACACTCCATCCAGTGTGGCGGCTCTAATATGTGCCTTCTATCCCAAATTTCCTACTCACAGCAACGATAACAGGTTAGTAATAACTAGACATAAGTAGAGGAAGAAGTAGGAATTATTTGTAAACGTATTTATATCGTTCTGAACTTTGGTTTAATTTTATATTAATATGTAGGTATCACCTGCAAGCCTTTCGTCATTTGTACGTCTTAGCTGTTGAACCCAGGTTAATAATACCCAAAGAAGTCCACGCCGATGAAATATGTTACGCTAATCTAAGGGTTGTGCAGCTCGATGGTACGGAAGTGAATATAAAAGGTCCTGGAATTATACCGGATTTAAATACTCTGCGGAAAGTCGAGGTGAAAGACGAACGATATTGGCCCGTCACGTTCGAAAGAGGAAAAAATTGGGAATCATTAGAGTAAGTATTTCTTTTTTGTTCTATCGTAGCCGATGGGGCGAGTGGTTTAATAGGTTTTTAATAGTTTAAGTGTCGTTTTTCTTCGGCAAAATGGCATTCCAACGACCTATTTTTCACGTTGTCTAATGGTCCCTTTTCTAGCTAGTTCGCCAGCTAACTTATTGCTTTCAATCCACTAACGTCCAGGGATCTTTAGGTACATAATAATAAATCTCTTTTTAGGCGAATATTATCCACAACGGGGTACGTGGAGGTGAAACAGCGCGCCGGATGCCTCAGCTATATTTTAGACAAATTCGGTTACCGCAGCCAATTGGCCAGGACTTTGACTCATTCCGCTATAGTGCCGTGGGATCCGTCTCCGACGTCCATAACGTTGTTCACGTCCGATCAATGCGTAAAATTGTTCTGCGAGCACTTTCTCGGCTGTGATAAATCGAAGGAAACCACTGCGTTAGAAGCGAGATTGAAGCAATGCCTGACCAAGATCACTTACGATGCCGTGGTTCACGATAAGCTCATTGTGATAGTTGTATTTATTTCTATGCTAAAGGTAAGAATGATTTATTATTTTATCTTGGATATCTGGTATTTCAATCGATGAGTTTTTTTTCAAACTCGTTTGGTTACTTTTAAGGCAATTTTGGATCTAAATGATACTCCGTCTCCTCTAAATGCCTTACAATTCAAAATCATTGCTAAACAAATATTGCGGAATCGATCGTTTGATTTGCTTTCGAAAGAAGTTGTGTTAGCTCTAAGACAAGAGTATTTAAAATATTTCGACGATTGGGAGGAAATTTTGAAGCCTCAATTGCAAAGTTTTTTGTCGAATCGAGATTTCAACAAAGACACGTCGAATTTGGATTGCAAGAGATTGGCTACGTACGTGGTTTTTTACGACTTCCCTTGGAATTGTAGGATCAATCGAGGGGAATATTTGGAAATGCTCGGAAAATTGCCGAGCAATTTGTGTACAAACACCGTTGATAAAATTATTAAAATATTTAGTTAAATTGTTATAAATATTTTTTGAAGTGATTATTTTTAATACATAAGTTATAAAATAAAGTAAATGTTTTATATTTTATTTAGACATTAAAAAAATAAATACAGTAAGTGCTAAAAATTAGCCATTTGTTATAACTGAAGATTTTGCTGCCAAATAATGTTTCCAAATACCAACGTTTTATTTTTCAATTTACATATAAACAAGTTAATTTTATTAACAATTAGTTTACACGATTATTAGTAGGTGAGATTCAATTATTCTAATTAAATATAAAAATATACAGGGTTTTCGTGAAAATATAACACATCTCGAAGCGACTCCATGCAATGACGTGTGGTTCATCTTGCATATCTATTCCATTTTGATAAAGAAAAATGTTTATTTTCACACCACCCAATATAAACAATAAATAGAAACCAACTTCCTAATATTTTGCTCAGGTACTATACAATCCGGAGACGCAAGCGTCTCAAAAACATCGTTCCTAATGGGCAGTAATATACAAAACTGTAGCATTCCCAATCTAAGGAGTATTTTTGACCAACAAATAAATGACTTCGTTTTTAATACACTTTTCAGTGTAAAAATAGAATTTGTTTTCTTATTTGTACAAGTGAATATTCTCAAGAAAGTATAGAAAGCAGAAACGACATGATGAGAAAACGCCTGGAGCATTTTTTTACTATGATATTCCAAAGAGTATCGAAAACAAAGTTTCAGAATGTTGGTTAAAAATCTCCTCTGGCGACAAATAAGGAATAAAAGATAAAATACTGGATCTACGCTATTCCCATACACATCAATAAAACTCTCAATAGTCATTCTAATAAAAATACTTAATGCCCCATAGCTAGTTGGTCGGTGCAATATGGGATATTTTAGGCACTTGGTGAGAAAAAAGTAAACCCACGTTTAACTTACAGCTGCTCTATAGCTGATGAAAAACTTCCATGAACAATGCATCTCAAAAAATGTTAATTCTCAAATAGGAATTAAATTTTCTAAAATGTTGGAAGGTTTTGAAAAATAGTAAATGATGGTGTATAAGAAAAACCAAAATACTTAAATTTTTGGGACACACTGCGTATAACTTCTAAACAATTTGAGAGAATATTATACAAAACAATCGTCAGGTTTACTTTTTACGATAAATGCAAATTTCATACACTCTACAAATAAAACAAAACTTAACACTTTAAGTACATGAATTATGAAATGTGATAGCTTTACAAGATTGCACTGTTAATTCCTTCTCATAAAAATATTAAATAAATTAACTTATAACGAACTTTTTCACTTTCCTAAATATGCGTATATAAAAATTGTGAAAACTATTAACCTAGAAGAAAAATATGGTGATGCTGTTTTTTGTATAATATATATTTATTTTAATATCAGAAAATAAACACGAAATGTTATACAACTATACCCAAATGTGATAAAAATGTAGGGATTTTTTTAAATCATCTTTTTTAAGTTTGTATTAAGAATCAGTGGAGATTTTTTTATATAATTTAGAAAAAAACTATTAATAAATAATTAGTATGTACGTTTTGAAAATATTTTAATTTACGTAAGAAAAAATATAGTATAGTTGTAGACATAGTGTATTAAAAAAATCACACACAATAATTGTATAACCACGAAACTAATATTAACAAATAGGTAATTCAATTAATAAAAATTATTAAATTTATTATTCATGTAATAATTACTTATGGATTTTTTAGTAGTTAACAAAGATAATAACGGATGATAACGAATGGTAAGTCCAATTTTGACAATTTCTTATTCATTATAAAACACTCTAAATAAATAAAATATTTAGGCCAGTTCCTACAATTTCATTAAACTGTGATCAACTGTAACATAGTATTTACCTTAAATTTGACTACTGTAAAAACTATTCAGCTGAAGCAGGTCCGTTTGAAGAGCAACCACAAACCGCACTAAAGCCAATAAAATCACAAAATTCAAGTTTGTACAATTGCCCTACAACCAGATCTCAATTACATAAACTCTAGTAACTGGCCAATTCGCGTGATGAAACGTATTTTTTGTAAATAATATTTATCGAAACGAAACGAAATAAAGAGAGCAGCATTCTTAAATCGGGCGATTTTACGTAAAAGAATATTAACACCTCGCGCTGTAGACAAACATTCTACCTGCTCTTGCACTTTTCGATCGCGCACTCGACGGCTTTAGTGATGTTATCGAACACAGGTATTTGCTTTCTACTGGCTAAGTCCGTTAAATAAACCCTCGCTCTGTTGTAGTCTTTGATGGCGTTTTTCGTCAACTGAAATAAAAAACCACTGCAATGGTAACAGAATCCTAAAACGTTCTCGTAAAAGTTCGGAGCTTTAATTTATCACTTTTCCGTCTTAAATCGTTTAATTGAGTTCAATTTCAATTACTGGAGAAGTTATTCGTAAATGATAGTCATTTAGTGGTTATTATCGATCTACTTACCGTTTCATTGCCTATTTTACAATCCTCGCTGGCGAGATGTTGCACGCACAGGACCATATCTTTGTTGAGGCCCATGTAGAAAGCTGCCAAAATTATGCTGGTCATCGATCGCGTATCATTCGTTATGACGAGCAAAAGAACTTCGCTTTTATCCAAAGCTCTTTTCCATTCTAAAACATCGGACGAGTTACATCTGACAAATCTAGAAACGAATTAACCAGCGTTATCGTAAAGAAATTAATACACAAAGGAGTAAAGAGTCTCACCTAGCATCATCACAGCCATTTTCGTTTTCGACAAAGCCATCGATTCCTTCCCTCAACGTTGGATTGTAGTAACTTAAACCGTGTTTCTTTATCAAAGGAATTGCTATGTCGCTCCTCCAATTCGATTCGGAGCCCATCGATCCGCCCAAGAAAATATCACTTTTGGGTATTAAATCGTTGTCGGGCTCGAGAGGCACTTCTTCGACCAAACAATTCGCTTGCACGTTGTTGAGATTGCATGGCGCGTTGTTGGAGCAATTTCGTTGGAAGGGCTGCGTTGCCCACACTATAACAATCGGAGAAAAATCGAATTAATATCGAGCGTTTAATCGATTAGGAAATGAGCTAGTAATCATAGCAAGGCATTAAAATTAACCATACAAAATAAGTTAGATAATTAAATAAGAAAGTTGTTTAAAATTAATAAAATGCAAAATCCATGTCAAAAATTAAATGTGCTATGATGGAAGCCGGAAAACAAAATAAAAATGAACACTTTTGAAAACTGAAATCAAATAAAAAAAAAGAATGAAAAATAATCGAGCGATTGCGATGAGCAAGAAATCGTTTTTTAGAAACTACCTAGTGTGTTATTAAAAAACGTTTTAAAGAAAACCCTAGTCTTCAAAAGTGCGCACTTCCAATATAAGGGCCTATAATAGACTCTACCATCTGTCGTACACATTTCGCATTTGTCGGTCGTCGAAAATTCGGCCATCAGTGCGCAAAATCGCTCGAAGCTGATCGTCGAATTTGTTTTGTAATCGTTTTGCGGATTGAAATAATTGTACAGACGACTGATCTCCAGCGAACGATTCGTCAGCTTCTCGTAAGCTTCTAAAACATTGATAAGTTTCATATCGCCTCCATAGGAGTCATACACTTCTCTCAGTTTCCTGCAAAGATATTAAGAAATTCAGCCAAGTTCTCGCATAATATACCTTCCGCTTTATCTACCTGAGTTTATACGTAATTTGTTCCTCGGCGCTCGTACCGCTCATGGAAGAATTTCTTAAAATATTGGCGGTGCATTGCAAAGCAGTTGACAAGTTCGTGTGAATCTTGACACCTTTGCTTTTTACCAATTCCAATAAAACTTTTTGACCTTTCATCAAATCTGCATACTCACTGAAATTACAAATATTATTGTACAGACCTGCAGAATTGTAACATTCATCAAATTTACACTATTTTACAACAATAGCAAATATCTTTACCTATCAGTGATGACTTCTCCCATTATGGTTTGGCCTCTTTCGTACGGCTGTGCGACTACAACCACGCATCGGCCGGAAGCCACCAGGTAAGCTACTTCGATCATTCCGACTGTACTCCGAGTCTGGCTATCTATCACAAAAAGTAAAACTGAAGCTGCCTGTTTCGCGTTGTACTCTTGGGCGACGAGTTCCGGGGCCCACATTGACACTTGCTGCAAACGATACCTTTTATTAATATTGCATTTTATTTGGAGAAAAATTCGCACTTACCGGATTGTAATAAGAGATGCCGTGCTTTTTCAATTCCGGAATGGCAGTGTCTGCTCGCCATGTTGTTGGATTGCACGAGCCTCCCAGAAAAACGTCGCATTTGTTATTCGGACATTCTGTATATAAAATAAACATTTTAGATGATTGAAATGATAAATATCTATAGTTGATTTATTAAGATAAATAAGCAGTGGTCAATGGACTAAGTGGACAAGTAAGGTAAGTGATGTCATATAAATTAATTTTTCTGGTACTTAACGTGAGTAACTTAATAGGCAAGTATTCATAATTTTCTCTAGAATCGTTTAATTTATCTTTTGATGATTCAATAAAATCTTAAGTTTCTGCAACAGGTAATAATTTAAATACCCATAATTTGTATAATTAATACGATTCAATGAGCACTAATGATGTAAATTATATATTTGGATAAACATGACGAATGCATTTGAATAAACCTGTCAGTTGAATTGTAGACAGCTCTCTTCATACAAAAGAAAAATTAGATTCTAATCTCTAATAATCCATATACCTCTTGAAAAAAGTAACAAGTATTTAATTTTAATTTAATCTAAGTAGTTCTATTAACTTTTATTTAAAATTAATGAATTATTGGATAAAATAGAGTCCCTGTACCTAGCCTACTTGTTACAACTAATAAATTTAACTGACAAGGAAGTACAACAAAACAATTATTGTAAATATAAAACAACTTGTTTAGCAGCAGTAAATATTGATATATTTTATAAAGTGAAAAACAAAAACTTACTAATTGTAGAATTATTCGTTTTGGGAGGTGTAGACCGTCTCTGATGTTTGGGATTCTGGTTTTGCATCTCCTTGACAAAGACACAAAACTCCCCGAATGTGATGTAGTCGTTGGCACCATTTCGTCTACCGCATTGTCGCGCACACTGGAGCATTTTCGCCACTGGAATATTTAGAGAATTTCAAATAAATCATCATCCGATAAGCTAAAAAATTTTAACCTAACCTAATCGATTTGTTGACATGACAACAGAACGCCAACCCAGATGTCAACTATTTTGGGGTATTTTCGTTTTGTTTACATTCGATCTAATGACAAGCAGGTAAGAATTTTTGACAGTTTTGACAGAAAGTGCACAGAGACGTATTCAAAAAATTTCGTTCGATATTTTACATAGGTTGACCCCTAATTAGTTAATTTTTAATAAATTGAATTAAAAAAATATATTATTAGATATAACTTTGCACGTTGAAACGCATGTTCGCATAAAATTAATCCAAGTAATTTTTTCATTTGTAAATATTAAATTAAATTACTTAATTACCTTGAGATTTGGACGGAAATAGTTTCATATCGTTGAATAAGGCCTGTACAGATTCTTCGGGAATGTGAAGTGTATCACCCAATCGGACACAAATAGCATTGTATACCTCTCTGAAACAAACCAATAATTATTAAATTTTAATAGAAGTAATTAAGTGTTACAAACACAGGTTTTTCCAAAACCAAATTTTTCACAGTGCTATTATTCTTATAATTCGTAAGAATAAATAAAAATTATGAATTTACCGAAATTCCTCAATAAATGCTACCGCAATATATCTACACTTTAGCAGGAAATATAGGTAACATAATAGGTAACAAATAAACGCCAAAAAGCAAACAATGCTATTAAATTAATCAAATAAACAATAGGATAAAACTAAATCAATTTGCGTAATTAGGAAAGTTTGATTTGACATTTTACAAATAAATACATACTTGGCAATGTCTTTAGATTTGGAAGGCCACGATTTATTAATGCATTGGTTCACCATTTTTTCCGTGTGTTAGAGATTATTATTATAACATTAACCGATCGAAACTTGTGAGAACTTCCTTTCTTAGCACCATCCTAAAAATAGCAAAAATGGTCCAGAAATGATTTCGTAAAACGCGTGTAACTCATCGATACCGAACATCGCCGCGATCAAAATTAAATTCGGATTTTAATTCGAATAAGCACGAGAAAATTAGTCGAAATTCCTCGTTAAACTGAAAATATTCCTACAATTTTAGCTCACTTTTGTGCCAGTTATGATACCTTTTATCTGTATTTGAAGAGAGATTACTGATAAAGGTTTATTAACGTAAAAATCGATAATGAGATATGCGCCATTTTTTTTATTTTCGAAATGCAAATAGCTTTAATGGGGCCCAAAAAAAATTAAAAAATAATGAAAATTAATAAATTTACATTGAAATATTGGACAGTAGATTCATTAAATCGAGTATAGTGGTTAATACAAATATAAAATGGGTTCCTTTCAAGCACCCTCAAGCAAAAAAATTTGATTTAAAGTAATTACATATTTAGTTCCTAATTAAGATAAAAATACATAAATAGTAGGTTGGTATACTTATTGTAATAATTAGATATGTAAGTCATATTCATTTTATTAAAATTCTCGTCTCTTTTAGGCAAATCTAGGTATATTTTAAGTATTATCGTTCAAGACTTTCTTATCAGTCATGCCGGTAATCAAACGAGAGGAATGAAGAGTGTTTATACACTGATGACTTAGTGATAGAACCTACCTCTTTTAAGTAGTTTAAAAATCGATTCTTTATTTGCACTGAAGAGCAATCATGAAATCGATAATTAATTAAAAAAACCTTTATCTCCAAATTTGATAAGAATTGCAAAATTCATAAACAGTTATCAATTCAGTTGCTGATATTATTTATCTGCATTCAAACAATTTAATTTAAATTATTTAAATTACTTTATTTATGATCATTACATCACACACGAAAAAGTACCACAGTGTTTTGTTTATCTCTGAGAAGCTTGAGTGCATTTTAGCATTTAATCAAAGCTTCTGTAATGTCTAATAATTTTAAATAAGTAGATACAAAATTAAAAAAGATGTAGTACTAAATAGGTGCGGAGGAATAGAAAATGGAAAAAAAACCTATGCTTACATTGAAATTAATATTATGATGCTATTAGAAATGTTAGAAACAATGTATAGTATCTTAATATGTAAGTAGTTAATTGTTAAATGCATCACAACAATCTAAATTAATAACTTACACCAGCAATATTAAAATACAAACGTACTTTCGTTTCTTTTCAACCATATTCCAAAAACTTCACAACTCCAAAAATCAAAACCGATAAACAGAAACTCTTTAAATACAGCGAATAGTCAATTTCTATCAGTTTCGCATCACTCGCAAACGCATAATGCACGTTCACTTGCCACAATTGAACCGTTCTCTACGATCATACAAGACATACTAAAAGTTTATAAATATCAAAACCCATATGCGTTTGTGTATAGTACGGTATAAGAATTAATGAATGTTGGCGGTTTTTAATCGCTGACCACGGTTCGCGAAAGTATCTCTGTTCGGAAAACTGATAACTTTTCTACATACACTGCTCGACAAATTCTAACTGGTAGAGATTTCCAACTAATAAAAACTATTGATAGATAGGTAATGGAGATGGTATTGTATACTATACATAAGTAGATCTGGTAAAAATTCGGAATGTTTGTTTTATATTGGTTACAGTTTCTGCTATATTTTGACTCTTTTTTAAAATCAAATTACTCCATTTTGTGTATTCAAAGTTTGGCCGAAAATGATAGTACTATTATATTATATTAGAGATTTTAAATTAAATACCCTGTATATTTTTTGTAAGTGACTGCTCGTTTCTGGAATTCCAAAGTATTATTTTCTATGATTTATAATGAATATCGCAAATAGTAAAAAAATCATTAAATGTTAAGGGGTTATAGACGTTATTTGTGTTTCATATTAGAAAACAATCCTTAAACTAATTTTATGGTCATACTTATTTATAGAAATTTATCTTCGGAGGAGTTTTCGCAATAAATTGTCGAAAAAACTCAAGTCTATTTACAAACTTTGATTGAAAACGAGATTATAGTAATTTGTTAATTCAATTTGACCTACACAATATTACGAAATGATACAAATTTATTTTAATTGGGTACCAATATTCACGAACAAAAACATTTCATAAAACAAATAATATCTTTAACATACTTAAAGTAAAATTTAAGCAATATTTTGGTAATTATAGTAAATTTTTCATATTAATTCGTATTTACATTATTATTATTTTTTATCTCATTCCAAATACGTAATAAATGATTAATGATTAAAGTCCTTTCAAAAATGTTCAAGTAATTACTTTCAGGCATTTCAATTTCGTTTAAAGTAGGTACCTATGTAAGAAAATTATAAGACAATACCAAATAATACCCACATAACAGAATAACGTGTGCAATGTCTGTGAACACTGCAGATTTATGGTGCAGTTATGAAATGACTTATATAAGTGCATTATGTGAAAGTGCATTTTTTAAAAATCTGCAATAATTAACAATGAACATCCTATATCTTACAGATTCTGAGGCTTAGAGGAAAGTGTTGAAATTGCAGCAGCATTTTATAATGATAGTTAAAACTATGACAACATATAGAAAAAAATAGTTTTTTTTATTAATATTACTATTTTCTAGAATTGACAGCAAAGATTCTTAATATGTAAATATTATTATTGATTACATATGCTGATTTTTTTGAATAAATTATAGATAAATAGGTGTCACTAACGACTTTAGTTGTATAATTAGTTTTGTTATTTCTTTTACTATAAATTATATTTCATTTCATGTTTATGTAAGGTTAATTAATGTATAGAATGCGAATGTAATAAAGTGAGAATAACTAGAAAATAAAAATAGTGGAAAAATCAATATAGTAGGGAAAGTATAGAAGTTGATGCCATTTCTAAATATACCGATTCTCTTATGATTACAGTAAAATAATAATGCGGTTAAAAATTACGATAAAATAATATCAAAGGTAGTAGTAGCTATAGTATTTATCTATCGATGTGGAGTTATTGTAACCACATTTTCATTCTATTCTATACCTTCCTGAATATACTCACCGCAAACTAAATTCGAATGCTCATCATGTAATTTCCGTTTTAAAAATAATTTCTCATGACTAAATTTAGATCCAAGACTTTTGTCCAATTAATAATCCCTAATAATTTTATAAAAATCTTCCATATTCCGAATTTTTTGCGTATGACAATTAACTTCTTTTAAGCCCAAAGCACTAATTCCATTAGTAAACATACCGCTCGTAAAATCTGATAAATACGCCTCTGCCTCTCAGTAAATAGATAGTCGTTTTGTTTATTTTTATACTAAGCAAATGACCTTTTTCAATGGCTTTTAACTGTTGAGATGTCACAATAAAAATGAGATCACATTTTTTTCCGATATTATTTATATTAGTTTAGGGGTCAAATATTGGCAGTGAAGACGCGCCGTTATCGTTGCTCGTAAATACACTCAAATATTCAATGAACACAAGGCGATTTTAATTGGACGCGATGCAACGTTTTCTAGGTCTCATCTCTCATCATAAATCGATCACAGCCTAATATGATTAATCTATAAATAAGGTAAATTACACGCATAGTGTACTTTAGTTATCAGAATTTCTAATTTCGTTTTACTATTATTTATATAATTATAATACAATACGGTATAGATTAGTGCGAAAATTCTATCGAACATATCGAAACTAGGAATTTATAAAAATATAAATTTGACTAAAGATTGAAAATCGTACTAAAAAATTCCCTCAGAGACGAAAATATTGCTATTGAAAACTTTTTATGATATTTCATTTACGAAAGGGTTCGTAAAGTAGCAAGACAATATTATGTTATGTAAAATATTCTAATACAAATCTTTGTATGTAACACAGCCCGCCTAATTTTTTAATTAAAATAACAATTTCGCGTGCTTTTGTCAATTTAAGAAACGCTTTGAAACTGCGACTAAAGTAATTTCAAGAATGTTAATAACCTAATTTTTCATTACGGAGAATCCAAATATTGTTCCAATAAAATGATGATGCATTTGATAAGAATGTGGTCAATATAGCAGAATTAGAAGAAAAATGTAATTTTCTATAGCCACATAGAAAAAACAAAATTTTCAACATTTTCAATTAAATAATTGAATTAACAATAAGCAGTAATTTCTTTTTATATTTTCTCGAATTTGTTTTTAAAACAATGGGATATTTTTGTTGTATTTTCGCACCGAAACTTTCCTATTTACCAACGAAATCGATACAAAACATAACGAAGTGAACGAACGTTCTCAGGGTTGAAATCTCTCTATTCCTGGTTCGATTTCAATGCGAAAACAAACAAAACGAAAAAAAAGACGAAACGCGGCACATTTTCGCCCGGTGTCATTGGAATTGTTTTGCATTAGTTTTCCGTTGTTTTTTTCTTTCCAATAACTATTTTTACGCGTGTTTTATTGCCGCTTTATGCAGTTTATAGTAGTTGGTCGACCTCTTCGCGAGTTTATGTTTACGAC